ATAAGACGACCAGTTAACATAACCGACCCCGCTTTTAAAAACCATACAATATAAAATTGAAAAGAGAGTAAGACGGAAGAATAAACCAAAAAAAATAAAAGGCTAGGGTTTTTCAATGTATATAAATGACTAGAATGTCATAAATGATATGGGAATAGGCATAAAGGGGCCAAAATATGAGCACATGGCCATGGGATACACCACAACCATCTTTCAAGCCGAATTATTCAAATAACTAGGCAGTTCTCAAGCCTCCAAAACTAGTCTGGAACTGCCTAAATGCACAAAAAACTCGGATCCATAAATTTTTCAACTTTACAGTGAATTCCAGGACTTTTCAGGTAACAAATCAACAAAGATACTATTTAAAAATGCCAAGAATGATAAATGCAAAAAGATTAATCGTAAAAGCTTAGCAGGCTAGGTGCAAAACAAAATCATTCTCTACTGGTTACCTGAACATGCATAAAGGGAACAAAGAAGCAGATGTCCTTGTAAGGAAATGGGCTGTAAAACCGTTGATAGGCCCAGAACTCATTTGTGATATATCGGGTTGTCCGGAAAATAATGCAGGATTTTAAGTTTTCATTTAAAAAAATCTATATAAAATATTCTGTTTACGTTTACAGGATTACTCATTTGTATGAATGTCAACACTTATTAATCCTCTTCCAAATGATATTGTTTGTTTACCTCTGTAGCATTCCGCTACTTGGAAATAATTCAGTCATCCTTATAATGTCAAAGCGAGAATTTCGTACGATTTTCTTTTACGAGTTTAAACTCGGCCGAAGCGGAGCCCAAACGGCTAGAAACATTAACCAAGTCTGGGGCGAGGGTTGTGTTAATGAGTGCACTGTGCAAAGGTGGTTTAAAAAATTTCGGGAGGGAGATTTCAGCCTTGAAGATGAAGAAGGTCGTGGAAGGCCTTCCTCTCTTAATGATGATGTTCTGCGATCAGTGGTGGAAGAAAACCCCAAAACAACTGTTCGAGAACTTGCAGAGCAACTCAAAGTCAGTAAAACGACCGTCGCTGACCACCTCAAGGCGATTGGAAAAGTGAAAAAACTCGAAAATTGGGTTCCACACTCATTAAACGATCGCCAAAAAAATCAGCGCTTTGATGTTTGTGCATCACTTCTTTGTCGAAACAAAAATGACCCATTTCTGGCCAGAATTGTTACATGTGACGAAAAGTGGATTCTGGACAGTGGCTCGACAAAGGAGAAGCTCCAATACATTTTCCAAAGCCCCCAACTCATCAAAAAAAGGTAATGGTTACGGTATGGTGGGCTTCATTTGGTTTAATACACTACAGCTTCTTAAATCCTGGCGAAACCATCAATGCTGAATCATACTGTAACCAAATTAATACCATGCATCAGAAATTGGCAGTAATGAAGCCCTCTTTGGTCAATCGGAAAGGGCCCATTTTGTTGCATGACAACGCTCGACCACATGTGTCACGTGTAACGTCACAAAAATTATTGGAGCTTGGCTATGAAACTTTGCCTCACCCACCCTACTCTCCGGACCTCTCGCCTACTGACTACCATTTTTTTAGACACCTGGACCACTACTTACAACACATAATATTCAAAAATCAAACGGAACTGGAAAATGCATTTATTGACTTTATCAATTCTAAAAATTCTGAATTCTACTCAGACGGAATTAATAAGTTACCAACACGTTGGGAGAAATGTATTGAGAGTATGGGAAATTATTTTGATTAAAGAACATTGCTTTAAAGTAACTAGTTTCTTTTTTTTTGTTTAATACCAAAATCCTGCATTATTTTCCGGACAACCCAATAGCTATAGGGTACTATCAACTAGCATCTTCAGAAAGAAGGTGTGATGAAAGTGAGGAAACAATTAAAATCACTCACCTCCTGGAAAGACGTTCAAAGAAATGAAGAAGGAAGAGACTCAGAATATTTGCAGAATTTTTCATGGACCACTGTGGACTGAATGAACATAAGGAAGAACTGTGTGGTATTTAGTGACCGTTAATTAATGATTATTTGGAGATCGTGAGATGCGTTCTGGTGTGACGTAGGTTTAGAAAAACATTTTCTTTATCGTGCCAAATTTTTTATCTTTATTGAGATCAAAACGTTGGCACGATAAAGAAATTTAAACCTACATCACACCCGAACACATCTCACGATCTCCAAATAATCATAAGGAAAATCACCAAATAACATGACATGAGCAGATTCTATGAAGAAGCAGAAGAGACCCCTATGCACCTGGTATGTCACAATCTCTACAATGTAAACGTACAAGAAATGCAACCACTAAATTCATGAAATGGGACTCAATATACATCTACATAGTTTAATCCTACAGTGGGTCTTGAAGGCATTTCCGGTAACAAAGCAGCGGAGACATAGCTAAAAAGGGAACCTCAGAACAAATCATAGGTCCAAATCCATTTTGTCGCAGAAATGTGAGCCACAGCAAACCCTGGGAATGTCAGGCATGAGGAAATCAGACAATCTAACTGCAAAAACAACCTAAAGGTAGAAAAAAATACTACTCAGCAGAAAGGAAAAATCCTAAGAATATTTACACAGCTATAAAGCCTAGGAGATCAACTCAAAACCTGTCTTGGAACTACCTGAATATCCTAAAAAACTGGGATTTACAACGTAAGGTGTGTCCCATGTCATGGGGAAATTTTAGGCAATGAGGCAGCAGGCAAAAAGTTAGCCTCAGAAACAACTCCAAATCCATTTTGTGGCACAGACAAGAACCACCGGGAACATCAGGCATTGAGTAAGCAAAAAGGCTATTTGAAAAAACACCCCCAAAAAGAGGAAATCTACTGAACAGAAAGGAACTAAAAACTTTTTTTTTATCAAACCAATGTGTACTATGTCTAGAAGAGACAGATATAACACAGCGCATCTTGTGGAACTGCCCTGCAATAAATGACTAGGAAAGGACTTTAGTAATTAGGAAAAGCACACTAGATACGATACACCTGAGAAGAATTCTGTACTTCATCAAAGAATCGAAAATTTTCCAGGAAATCCAGTGGCAGAGATGGATCACAGAAGATGAAAATTTGAGTGCTAAACCTTAATTTCAAATAGGAAAGAAGTAAGAAGAAAAAGGTTTAGCAGGACATTGGAATAAATCCAATGTACAAAAATGGTTGGTGAATGGTACATAGAAAAAAAAAGATTAAACAGGAACAAAATTATATGAATAGTAAAAAATATTGTATAAAAAGTTAGTACGTAAATTAAAAAAGAATAAAGAACATACATAATCAAAAACAAATTTTTCAATGTGTATGAAGAGCATAAACAAGTAATATAAGCATAAAACAAACTAGTAAAGAACCTCAATTAAGAAGTGGCCCAAATTCATAAAATAAAATAAACATTTATATAAAAATTAAGAAATCATATTCGCTCCTCCCCTTTCCCAAACAAGTGAACCGTTAGTGTTTTAAAGATAATGAATTTTTACATTCACAAGAAAACAGAAATAAGTTGATTTTATCAAATTATACTGTCTTGTTTATTATTTGGGCCAGTTCCAATTTTTACACGCCACACAAGGGAATTAAATAGTGGAAATGAAATAGAACCAGACACTTCACGCATTCCAATCGTTCCAATGTAATAATAGGATCCGAAATATTTGCATCGAACCCAAGGGGCTATTAACAGGATAACGCTTGGTGTCTTGTCAAAATGGGAATCTATCGGGATTTGATGCCTCGCTCTCTCTCTAAAATTATTTTCTTTAGCACTCCCCTACGTCCTAAATCTGTACCCGGGATGTAATAAACAACAGCTTTTTCTCTTGCTAATTTATTCGTCGGTGATTTACAATCCCTAAAAATATTTGCATAATGTCCTTCATTTTGGGTGAATTCAAACTAAATCAGTACAGTTGAATGATTACAGAGTTTGCACTCGTCATTGTGTGATTTCTTCTGCCAAATATTTGCCTCGATGTCATTGTTGCCATATATTTTATTGTTTTGCGTATGTTTTAAATATTCAATTTGTAAATTTTCTATTACAATTGTCGTTAAGTGGTCAGAACCCAATGTGTGGACATAAGCCCTTCTGCAGAAATGATATTAATTTACACTATACTAAATTTAAAAAACCACCTTAAAAATGTTTAACTATATGTATATAAATTTACTTTTTTTATAAAAAGTAGAGGTTACTTCATGTTAGGATTTTAGGATTACACATAAAAGAGAAAATTCTTCTTTATATTTGTTTATTATATTGTTGTTATGTTCCATGTGTGTGTTGAATTATTCTGTTCTCATAGCTCATAGGACAATTGAAAACTAATTGACAAAACTTCTGCTTTGTACTCACAATTTTCTCCACTTTATGGAAAAACATTGAATTGTAGATACATAACCTAACCTGTACTCCCCAGCAATGCGAAAATAGTCATTCAAATATCCATCCCAAAAATATATCCACATTATAACATTGGTTTTGCTTGATTTTATATTTTTAAGTTATAATTCTAGAGAATCAATTTATTCACGTTCCATGTTAAATATCTATTCAGATTCATTTCATCGGAAGTTACATGCGTGCCCATTTAAATCATGCAGAAAACGTTTCATTTTCATAAGTAGAGGTTAACTAGCTTAACCTAAACTAACCCCAACCATGTGCACTCCGTAGTAACGCAAAAATAGTCATTCAAATTATGTATCCAGCCCAGAAATATATCCACGTTAAAACATTTATTTTGCTGGATTTTATATTTTTAAGTTATAATTCTAGAGAATCAAGTTATTCATGTTCCATGTTAAATATCTATTCAGATTCATTTCATCGGAAGTTACATGCGTGCCCATTTAAATCATGCAGAAAACTTTTCATTTTTATAAATAGAGGTTGGGAGCCAATAATGAGTAACTTCATTTAATTAAACATTCATATTTAATTATACTATATTACAAAATTGTTGTTATGAATGATTTGTTGTTATTTGTTTCAGGGGTAAATTTGGTATTGTATACAAATGCCGAGACAAAGAAACGAAGCTCGTTCTGGCTGCAAAATTTGTTAGCATTGCTAAAAGACAAGATAGAAAAAATGTAGAGAGGGAAGTTGAAATAATGAGGGCACTGAGACACCCTAGACTGATTCAACTGTACGACGCCTTTGAAAATGACAGCACAATGTGTGTGGTGCTTGAGATGTAAGTAAATAAAAATTCTTTTTATATACTAGCATCTAAGTGTTGTTAATAAATCAATCATTTTGTAATTCAGGATAGACGGTGGAGAATTATTTGAACGTGTCATAGATGATGATTTCATATTGACTGAAAAAGCTTGCACCGTTTTCATGAGACAAATATGTGAAGGAGTTTCTTTTATTCACATTAACAATATAATCCATTTGGATCTAAAAGTAAGATTTTTTAAATAATTGATGCATCTCATTTATTGAAATTGACAATTAAAAAATTAAACTTTTTTTTTAGCCAGAAAATATTCTCTGCCTTACAAAAACTGGAAATAGGATTAAGATTATTGACTTTGGCCTTGCCAGAAAGTTTGAACCTGATAAAAAATTACAAGTACTTTTTGGTACTCCTGAATTCGTAGCACCAGAAGTCGTAAATTTTGACCAAATTTCGTGTGCCACTGACATGTGGTCTGTTGGCGTTATTTGCTATGTTTTGTAAGTAAACAAATTCATAATCTAAACAAAAGATGTATAATGCATTTTTTATGTCTATGTCTTGAAATCTATGTTTCAGGTTGTCAGGACTATCGCCTTTCATGGGAGAAAATGACATTGAAACAATGTCAAATGTAACTTTAGGAAAATACGACTACGATGATGAGGCTTTTGATGATATCTCCGTTCAAGCGAAGGATTTCATCAGCAAACTGCTTGTTCAAAACAAAGAGTGAGTGAATGCAAATAAAAGACAAATTCCTTCTAAATCAAATACAAAATGGAGTTAAATAATGCAATGTTAAGCAACTCTACAACAAAGACAAAGAGAAATTTTTTTTAAGCATCAAGGAAGTTTTTGGTTATGATGTTTCGATTTAACTGAAACCATCACTGCATACAAATTCAAAATATTCTAACCTCTGTTAGAACAGTTTACAATGCCAAATAATTTATAAGGTATTAATCATCAAAATCAAACGATGTATGGTTTACCAATATCACTTTTATAAAAATGCACTATTTTTTTGTCATTTAAAATAAATTGAAATAATATCAAATCATTGAAAACGGAATGTTCAAATTCTTTATTAATAAATAATAAAAAATAAATAAATAAAAAATTTATTTATTTTTTATTTTTATTTTTTTCGTTCATTCTAAACACATCAGGTCAAATTTGACAAACAAATGGGATTAGTGCATTCTCTGTTATATTTTTCAAAAAACATTTCTTTCGTAATGCCATTCTTTTAAAATAATTATTTCTAGTTCTGTATTTGTATTATTTATCTACACAAAAGTATTTAATTTTTACTACCTGTTTTATTTTGTTTAAATGTGTTACAAATTGAGTCAAGACACTATTGGACAAGTTGATATAAATGCCGTATAAAAAGTGTGTATTACTTTTAAACTTTTTACAAACAGAAAAAAATGTTGATCAGAAAAAATTGTAGCCACAGGGAAGAAGTAAGTCAATTCAAACCAAAAATGAAGTAATTTTTAACCGAAAAAAGCCATATCTTTAAATGGGAGAATTGGATAATTATCAGCAAAAATTTATTTTCTGGGTGTCTCAGAGTTTTAGAACTCATTTCAGGCAAGTCTGTCTAATTTTTCTAAACCTGCTTGCCTAAAATGTAAAGAAAAGACATTTATAATAAAATAATGAACTTATTTGAATTGATTTTGGTGCTGTAGCATCCCTTTGGTCATTTTCAACCCTGTGGCCTATCCTACCCCTTGCATTACAAAAGGACTTACTACAGTAATCAAATTTTAATCAAACATCATGGAAAAAAAATCGTCTAAAATAATTTGATGGATACTCATGACCCAACACCCCCAAAAATAAGCATACGCTGAAATATTAAGTCATGGAAAATTCACTTCCTTTCCGGCATATGAAAGTCATTATTATAAAGCAAAAACCTCATTTAAAAAAAATCCTTTTACCTAAATATTAGAAAAATGTATAAGATGTAGAAAGAGACAAGATCCCTATCTGGTTACCTGAAAATTCTGAGCCTCTTCAGGCAAGGAAAAAATCTCTTACTGATAAGGCATTCTTCCGAGAAAATTGATAAATTAGCTAATATTAAATAAAACTAAAGCTAATATAGTTAAATAAAATATTTTTTTACAAAAGATGGTTATATTATTCAATTCATAAGAGCACATAAAATCAAGCGTGTACATAACTAGGTAAGTAGTTGGTACATAATTGGGCTTGGTTTAGTGACAATTTTTAAGATTTGGATACAATTTGTTCTCACTTGAAAATTAAACACTACTATAAAAATTAAAACTTGAGGTGTAAATTGCAAACTGTAAAAGCATTCCCCATAAAGTTGACATTTTTGACTTACTTACTTCTTGATGTGGCTACAGAACGTCAGCTGATTACAGCAAGAAAATTATTTTTTAGTGTTTATACCAATAGAAATGTCCTTTTACCATTTTCGTGACTAATATTACATTTGATTTATAAAATTCATTAGCCTAAACACTTTAACTCATTAACACTTGTGTTTCTTTAGTACATTAGTGCATGTTTGTCTGTCACAATGTGATGGAATAGTAAGTGGTGTTTAATGGTCCGTTATTAAATATATAAGTCCTTATTTTTATTATATGAGTTATAATTAACTAAAAAAGCAAAAAAAAAATAGATAAACCATACGGGTGATAATTGTTCTCGTTTAGTTAAGACTTCGCCAAATCGAAATATTGTATTGAAAACTCAGGAAAGACGAATAAGTTTCACTCTGTCTAATATTAAACTGGTAAGTAAAATCACTAGTAATTTTGATTACTAAAGCATCTTTTGTTTTAAATTATCATATTTTAAATTTAAAAGTAACAATTTTGACATTAAAAGTATTGTTCAGTTAGGTTGGTATCTAACCTGTACTCATGTGTTGGTTCAATAGGCCACTTTAGTTTAATTTCACAGTAAATACAACTCTCATTTTTGATGTAATTTTCTGTTTTCTAAGTAAAATCACTAAATTGAAATAAGCAGATAATTTTTTGCTTTTATCTTTCTTCCATCCTTTTTTGTTAATATTTTATTTGTTGTTGTTTTATTTATATTATTTTTATTATTATTGAAGAAGCTTTTCAGACAACGTTGTACTATAAACAACTTTAAACATTATGTTGAATTTCCAATACTATGTCGTATAATTTTAACATGTTTGATTGGTGTTGTTGCAATTTTAGTCAGATTACACATAAAAGATACAAATTCTTCTTTATATTTGTTTATTATATAGTTGTTATGTTTCATGTGTGTGTGTTAAATTATTCTACACTCATAGGTCATAGGACGTTTAAAAACTATTTGAGAAAACATCAGCTTCACACACACATATTTTCTCCGCTTCATGGAAAAATATTGAATTATAGATACATAACCAAACCTGTCCCTAACCCTAACCCCCCTTGACCTAACCCCACCTAACCTAAGCTAACTCCAGCTATGTACACTCCCCAGTGACGCAAAAATAGTCATGTATCCAGACCAAAACTATATCCATGTTAAAACATTTATTTTGCTGGAGTTTACATTTTTAAGTTAAACTTCTAGAGAATAAAATTTCCATATTAAATATCTATTCAGTATCATTTCATTGGAAATTACACGCGAGCCCATTTGAATCACACAGAAAACTTTCATTTTGATAAGTACGTTTTGTCTTTATAGATGTTGAACTTGTACTTCTTCAAAATTATCTGACATGTCTGTCAATGGTAGGTTTTGCGTTTACATCAGAGTCTCAACTAAATATATATATACTGGTAGTTGGTTGTTTTTCCTAATTTATAAATGTTACGCTTTTTAGTCCATTGGTTTTATTTTTTTTCTGCAATTCATTATTATATGTTCTACAGTGACGATTTTCCTACACAACAGGGACAATAAACAAACTTAACTTTTTCCTTCCAGGTATATGTTGTATTTTAAAACAGACCAAAAATATTCAGAAAATTTAATTGAATTAGTAGAAAATAAAATTGATTTTACTTTTAAACTAATAGACATCCTTGTTAGCAAGTTGGATTTGGCAAATGAATCAAATGTCCACAATAGTGTACTAATTATTTTACCACAAAAAAAAAAAAAAAATCTAGACCCACAACATCTTCTTATTCATCCATTGATGATGGAAGATTAAAAATAAAATGTATAATGATAATAAGATAAAGGCAGAAAATGTAATATAAAATAAAATAATTCCTGTATTACAAGAGGGCTTAACGTCCAAGTATTCATTTGGTGTTGATGACGAGGGGTTAAACCACTTTCCAATACTTCTTACATATTACAATCAATGACAAAACCTTGGGCTACATCAGATTTGAACCCAGGACTGCTAGCATGGCAAATACAAGTTTGATGTCCTAACCAATCGGCCACCACTGTCCACTAGAATTCGTAATTTATAAAAGCTACATTATCTCTCTAAGATATATACTTACAATAGATTAACTTTATATAGTAAACTTTGTATAATCTATTCCAAACAACTACTTCATAAAAATTAGACACAAAAGTAAGATACGATAATTACATATTGGACGAAAAAGGGGAAATGAGACTTTTTAGTACTGAAATATTGGTCATTGATTTATTTATTATACAAAAAAATACACTTGCTCAATGCTAAAAATTCAAATAAATTTATTCATGTACAAATTCACCAAAGAATCACTGATATGTTTATTTATACACTATTTCCCTCCTGGTTGTATTTGCACACATTTATTTTGTATGGTCAGTTTCTCACAATCTTGTCAATTACGTCCACAAACCATATTTTATTTGTAAAAATAATACACCTGACAAAATAACACAAGTCAGTGATAATAGGAAGACCATGATTATCTGAGACAATCCTTTTCAGACTACCGACTGAGGTTCATCACAACATAAACAACACTAGAATGTTTTAAAATTAAGAAGATTTATGAAATATTGTCCTCCTTAGGAAACAAGCTATTTCCTACCCTTTCAACATCTGTCGTCCTATAATTCTAGCAGTTCAAAAAGGAAATAAGATCTTAAGCAACAACATAACTTGAGGTATTTTTGAACGATAAAATTCTATTTTAAATTTTAAAAGAAAATAGAACTGTTGAAACAATAAAAATTACATATGTAACAGATACATTGAAATAGGTAAAGAGAATGTTTCAGTCAGCTAGAAATAGTTCTCAAAATCTCTGAAACTCCCAGAAAATCATGAAAGTATGCAAATGTTATGTACATCACACACAAGGATTATTTAGTTTTGCCCTGTTTTAAATCACACATCTGCACTGCATAAAACTTTAAATCATTCAAATAAACAATCAAAAATTGCAGTAGCATATTTTCTCAGCTTCACAGAAAAACATTGAATCAAGGATATGTAACTTAACCCTAACCAAACTTTACCTGACCTAACTGTTCCTAACCTAACCCAATCTAACCTAAACCCCTTGTGCACTCCCGTGTAACATGAAATTGATTGTGAAAAAATTGTTATGCAAAAAATTTTATATCCAGCCCGACAAACCATGTTAATATTTTTTTTCCCACTATTTGTCTTGAGAAAACCAGACCCTGCCTAAAATTCAAGCAAACATTAACTCAATATTTACTATACTTATACTTTATTAACCAAAAACAATAAGATACAATGTATATACATATGTGTACAATTAATACATATATATATTTTTTAAAATTTATTACATTATTTTTTCATTTGTGTTATTTAAAATTCGGTGAAAATACAAAATTATGTGTCAGTTCATAAGCAAGTGTTATTCAAAAAACTAAGCCAATTTGAAATGATTTCCTTTCAAAACTTAAAAAAAAAAATATTCAAGACCTAACAAATACAAATTTCAAACACACAAAATTAAATCAAACAACTGATCAAATAGCATAAAAATAGTATAAAGAAACACTTCTGATTTGCAGATCTCGTCTTGAAAACAACCAAAAATCCCATTAAAAAAGAAAAAAAGTGATAAACAGAAAGACTGATTTATTGTGGCAAGATGGATTTTAAGAAAATATGTGAAATGAAGATACAGTTATATTATTTTTTAAAAGGTGTGGTGAAAAATATGGCGACAATCAAATCTTATAAGACAAAATGATATCCAATAATTGTTATTTTTCTATGTTGAATTTATTTATTTATTTTTTAGTTAAAATTTATTATTCGATGATAAATTACTTCATATAATTTTTATTTAATTTAAAATTTAGTAGAAATACAAAATTATTGACATAATGTGTCAGTTAATAAGTAAGTGTTACTGTACAACAGCTGAATGTTTTACTGGAATTATCAATTATTATCAAAATATATGTTATTGTATCAAAAAAATTATATTTTCTGTACTCAATTAGTATCATGAAAAACACATGAAACAATAAACAAAATAAAATTGCACATGAATTTTGTGTGTGTGTGTGTGTGTGTGTGTGTGTGTGTGTGTGTGTGTGTGTGTGTGTGTGTGTGTGTGTGTGTGTGTGTGTCAAAGTAGGTGGTGGGTATGTTGGTGTGAGTTGTAAACAATATCGAAACATTTTAATGCAATGAGAGTATTTCCTTTTTTCAGTGATTTTGACAGTGCACTAATTATTTGGTATGGTAAATTATCTAACAGAGTTAATTGAATTAATATAAGCTTAATTTTGTAATGCTACATAATCCACTTTTGAAACATTTACTTTAAGTACATTTAAAATTAATTAATTACTATTGTTTTTATATCATACGAAGTGAAGTAATTAGTTAAATTTATTTTCAGAAAGCGGTTGACTGCTGAGGGAGCATTGAATCACCCATGGCTTTATAGAAAGATTCCTCCGCCTCCACCTTCTCTAAACACATCAAAAGAAAATCTTAAGAATTACTTAGATGCGACAACAGCACCAGAAACCATCTCTAGCAATAAATTGACAAATCGTAAATCAATGCTCAATGCTATCCAAATTTTGGCAGACAGTGAAAAGCAGTTTGCAGCAGAAAAGAAGCACAATGGTTTTCCTGTTGCCGCGAACGGACTGCCTGTTTTGGACAACCCTACAATTAAACCTGTTAAACCTGAGCCAATCAGAGCTGACAATCCTTTCAAACCAGTTGAAATGCTGATAAATGAAAATAAACCTTTGAATGCAATTGAAATTCTAGTGCAAAAAATGCCTGATCCATCAGAAGAGCAGCCAATCAGTACGCTTTCACCCATCAATGGGTCGATTAATGCAGCAAATCAAAAAGAAAATAAACCGCCGAATGCAAATAATGTTGAAGTGCAAGTGACAAGCAGGATTACTCCTAGCCCCGAAACCACGGGCTTAGAGGCGGCTAATTCAAAAGGAGATGTGCCAACTATCAAAAGGGAATCGCCTCTACCTGATACTCTAGCATCTTTGGTTCCAATTAACTCTGATATTCCAGTTGTATGTGAGACAGCATCATTAATTCCAGTTATTTCTGCTCTTAATACATTACCTGATAACAAAAAGCTAGAAATAAAGCCAATTTTACAAAACAAAGATGAAAATCGTATTGTTAGTTCAATAGAAAAAACCTTGCCAACAACAGAATTATCAGAGAAATTGGTATTGACTAAGGACAACCTTCCAGTAGGAAAAGAAGAAGAGAAAGAGCAAAATTCAGTTAAAATCATTTCATTTCCAGTCCACAGAAATGAAAAACAATTTAAACTTTCTTCTCAACCAAGTATTTGTGACTCTTCTAAAGAGGGTAAACGCAAAATTACCCCGCAAACTGAGACCTTCACGGCAAGCACTCCTCAAAATAAGACACCACCTTTGAAAACAGGGACAATAAATAAAGCAGATTCGCTTGAGAATAAAGAAACCATCAAACCGACTGCTAAGGAAAGTATAATTAAGCCAGAAGTTCGACAAAATATGGAAACAATACTTCCAAAGTTAAATGAAACATTGGCTAATATGATTGAAATGCCACCCCCCATTGTCCATGAAAAGCCAAATGATCTATTTTTAGCAATGATTCCGGGTTCATCTGTGGTCAATTCAGAACAGAAAAAAAATCTTGTAAGTGAGAAAATTGTCCAGGAAACAATGCCGAGAATACCTTGTGCTACCATACCAACGCCACTGAGCTTATTGGAAAAGACGTGCAGTCCGATTCCTACTCCTCTAAGCTTGTTGAACCAAGTTAAAATTAATAATGTGATCCCTATTAAAAAACCAGCCACTTTTGTACTAGATAACAGCAACTTAGACACAACACACAGTACTGAACCACCTCTAAAAAATAACAGTCCAGCAGAAATCATACCAAATTCTCCTGTTTTTAATCTTGCCAAAAAAGTGAGCATTTTCGAAAAGGAAGAAAAAAGAAGCACTAAGGAAAAACAAAGCGATACTGGATCAAATATAACTTTACAGCCACTACCTCCTGAAAGGGGTGGTTTAGGCGCATTAAATCAAAATCCACACCCTAAAATACTAGGAATAACCTTGGGCCAGACTTCTTTTGATGAAAGTATATCACAAACAAAAACAAGCTTGATCGCTAAGAAATTTAAATTTTTTGAAGAAAGCTCTGAGAGCAACAAACAGAAAATCACAATCAAGAAAGAATCTACGTCAAAATTTGAGTCATTTTCATCTAAGGAGCAGGAAAGGGAAACAATGCCTTTTAAACAACATTTGAAATCAATCCCGCCTTGGTTTAGTGAATCTAATAGTACGGAGAGCTCGAAATCAGATCCTATGGTCAGCAGATTCGATAGGAGGTCATCTGATTTTTCATGTCTGTTACACGATCAAGATGAAGAGACCAATTCAATATGGTCCAATCATATTAACCAACTTTCAGCAAGACTGCTGGAAATATCTAGTCAAGCAAACAAACAGGATGAAAAGACCACAGATAGTTCTATAGAAGATGGGTTCATGTCACCGCCAGGTCAGCATCCCATTAGTTGGTTTTTATCTCAAAACAAAAATAGCAACACTACAAGAAGGCCTAAACATAAATTCTCTAAGATGAACAGAGACGTCCCAATTGGTTCACCTCCACAAGAAGGAGGCAGAGAATTTTACTTGAACTGTCCGTTATTTGTCGTCCCGGGTGCAGACACACAATCCGCACCACAAAGCCCGCGCCAATCTCCCGAAAGAAAAACAGAAGCACAATGTTGGCAAAACTCTTGCCAGGGAACTGTATTAAAAATGGTCACAACAGAAGAAAAAGAAAAACACTTCTCATCTAAATCAACCACAAATACTCTTTCGTTCAAAACCGACTCTAAAAGTTAAAACACACGTGTAAGTTTTTAACCTGACAGTATTGAAAAATAATAGATTATATTTAAAGTTTGCTGTTAAGTACTCATCCATTTTAGACACAATTATTAATAAAATCCACACAATATTTTTATTTTAAATACAAAATGAAAATCACAATTGTTCTGCCTCTTCTACTTTGATTTTATTATTTCAATTAATTATTCTTTTTATCTAAGGTTTTTGGTTGAGATGAAAAAGTAGTGTCACGAGCGGGATTCGAACCTACGACTTCGGTTCAATACACCGCTCAAGTGGTGTCGACCCAAAGGTCGTGGGTTCAAATCCTGCTCGTGACACTAATTTTTCATCTTAACCAAAAAGCTTAGATAAAAAGAATAATTAATATGGTCAATTATGACCATTAAGCAAATATGACTTGATTTTATTGTTGTAATTATGTTTTTTATTATTTATTTTTGTTATCAAATGTAAAATATGAATGTACAAAACAAAAAATTCATAATCGGGTATAATTTGTTCAGACACCTGTAGATGAGATACATGTAACTTATGATGAATGAAAAGTGATATTGAAATGTCACATCTGGCTGTGTTGTAATTTATTTAATAAAATACTTATACTTTCCCATACATGTACTGTATGCTGTAACAATATAAAAACATTACCAATTGTTATGAAACAAATGTTATTATGTAAAAACATATTCTATTGGTAATAAATATACAATATTAAATTATTGTTTTGTTGTATTTATTTTATATTTTCACTTTAAAATCCCTAGTACCAAAATATATTTTTTGTTTCTTTAAAGAAAGGACCCAAACATAGACTGATTGAAATTGACAGTCTGCAATTAATAAACATATATGAATCTATTGATTTTCTATCTACTTATTAACTGATGAAGTCATTTGATCATTTGGAAATTCATTTTTATTACTATTAGCAAGGTTTTCTGCATTGTATAAGTTAATTATTATGTAATAATTATGATCAGATTGCATTCTGACTGAAATTTTGAAATTTGAAAAAACATCAAATCGTGGATATGTAACTTAGGTTACACACCTTACCTCACCTAACCTAACTTGATCCTAACCCTAACCCTACCTAACACATCCTGGCCCTACCCCAACCTGACCTAGACAATCCCCAACCTTAACCCTACCAAATCATGAGCTCTTTCCGGAAGAGAGAAATCGAGTAATCGATGATGCAAAATTGGTTGGAAAAAATTAGTTTCCTGCCCAAACCCATATCCATGTTTTAAAAATAAAGAGGATATACAAGTTTTGGTAATGAAAGCAAAAGTCTGAATTTTTTAGTTAGAAATTAATATATCCCTCCACAAGTATGAGAACATTTTTCTCACATTTCAAGAAAAGCGGATCTGCATGGCAAAAGATGATGCTTATGAAATTATGATTTATGTATCAGCTATTTGTATATGTCATCTATAATGTTCTAGAGAAACTTATGTTATTAAAAAAAAATACGCTTTGGAATTAGAATTAAATAATAAATTATGGCTCTTTCAAACGCCTATTATATTTTTATAATAATGTGTGAAATGTACAAATGTTCACATTCTACGATCACAGAATGTATATGATGGACTTTGAATATTTCTTTACATTCAACTTCCAAAGGAAAAACAAAACTTAAGCAAGAAAAACTTCATTTAATTCAACAAACAAAACTCTTAATATACAAATTCCATGAGTTAATATCATTTGAAAGACATGACACAACATGGAGTCAATTGAACAATGTTATTTAATAAGTTTTATTTAATTTTAGCGAGAGGCTCTCCGGCAAGGATGCTCTGAATCATTCGTGGCTGTGCAGTGAAGCGAGCGAAACGGCTCTGAGCAAAACAAAATTGAAACGCTATGTTATTAGAAAGAGATGGATAAAAATTGTCAACACGATTATCGCTTTGCAGAGGATGGGTGGCAAATTTGAATTTGAAGATAAGATGTAAAAGAATGTTATCAGTTTTACAAATTTAAAAAAAAAAAATCTTAAGCTAAAATCTCATTTATAAAAACAATGGTATGATTGGACTGTTACATTGTGATCAAATCTCTCTGTATTTTAATGTTAATTTCATTTCATATAAATTTCTTCTTCTAAACGTTCTAACAACCTTTTATTGAAGAAAAAATTGTAAAATTATAGTGATAATAGAAAATTTATATGTATTCCTATTTTCTACTTAATGGACTGATGTATTTCACCTTTTTCTTTGCTGGATTTACACCTCTTGTTTAATTTTGAATTTTTTTTTCTTTTTACGATCAATGCTTGTCAAAATAAAAATTAATTTGCTAATGTGTATACAAAGTTGTTTAATAAATTTTAAAATTTTTAAACTATGTAACACACTAATGTATTGTGTTCTGGAAATGATAGATTTTTTTAATATAGTGCTTGTTCTTTTATAATTGTTAGACGCAAATAACAATAATTTGGTCTGTGATTAATTTGAATGCATTATATTATAAACACTGCCTAATGTCCTTCAGAAAAAAAACACTATTTTCTTTATTTTAATTTGTTGTAAAGTTTTTTTTGAATATAAATGCTAGCTTTTGTAATATTTTTCACGTTATTTTGAAAGTTGTTAAATTGTTAAGTTCTATGAAGTTCTGTAAAACTGAAAAAAAAAATAAAGTTTTTAATGTTTAACAAATAAATTAAATAGCCTACCATGTTTCTTAAGGACAAATCAGTTTAACATTGATTGCAATAACAATTATCCTAAAATAAATTTTTTTAAACAATTTATTTTTCCTAATGTACAATTTGTTTGTTCGTGAATGTTTGATGTGTAATTGTAGATTTTTTTTTGTATATAAATATTTTTGAAGTTATGTTATGTGTATCACTTTTTGAATTGCTTAACATGCTAACAAGTATTAATATAATCAAACAAAAAATTTTAATGTAATTTTATTTATAATGACAATGATAACCAATATGTTGAACCAGCACTGGGTCCGTCTACTCACAGGTTTTGGATGTTACTCAAATGTGTTTTGGTTTTGCGTTATCTTCAATGAAGAACTACTAGACGGATCTATTATGTGGCCTCGTGCCGGTTCAATATGCGTTCACCGACTCGTAGACCAACACCCATCATCAACAATAACAAATATGTTTATTGGTTTCAATTTAGCAGAGTAAAGTATTGGTCTTAACACCTTATAAATTAAAAAACTGTATAATTGGTTAATTATAAAAAAATTGGGTATTTCTTTAGTTAAAAATACACTGGAATTTTATAATTATTGTTGTGAAAGGATACTTTGTATACTTATGAGTTATATTGGATCAGTTAATGATATAACAATTTATTATTGTAGAAAATAAATGTACACTATAATAAAGTGATATTAAATAAATTTGAGTATGTTTTCTTTTACTCCTCCATAGAATATTTTATAAACATTTGACCCGTCCGTAGATTGGAATTTGAGTAAGGAGATGCAGAAAATCCCATTTTTTTTACTTTGTAAACTATTTTTTTATCTGGGGATTACAGATAAAAACAGTTTTTCAACATAATCCTTCTAGCCCGACTCAGGATTGGCCTTACTCGGTTTTCTGTCATCTAAGTTTTTATAAATTTTATGAGCAATCGTGAGATGATGTTCCAGATTAAAATCCATATTGGTTGAAGCAATACAACCATCAGACAAAAATTTAAAAAAAAAATGTCAGGGGTCAAGAAATACTCTAAATTGGTCGTTATGGATTTTTTTGGTCTGCCTGTTGTTCGGATGCCCGGGAGGATAGGCACACCAAACTGATCGGTAATGACCAAATTACAAGTTTATCACACTGCAGACGACATGGAGGACTCTCAAAATAAGGAAATATTTACGTTGATAACTATAGATCTTTTCTTTAAAATGAGATTTAAAAGGAAATCAAAAAGTGCCTTTTCCGTCAAGAAAATATATAAAAGGTTCATATAAGAAATACATTTTTAAAATAATTTTTTGTTATAATAGTCCTAAATAGATAAAATATTCATGAGAAACTATTTTCTTTTCCCCGAGACCTTATTGATTTCAATTACTTCTCATTATGTTCATTTGCTAACAGTTTTATTACTGATGGCAATATCGCAGGAAATAAGCAAATAAATTAAATATTTATAGGATGTTTGCAAAGTTTTAAAAATGGAATGATCCACTCTCAAAATGGCTTTTTATAGTTTAAAAAAAATCCATGGGATCCCATTTGAAAGAATAGAGAATTATTTTCCCAATTAGGACGGCAGGACATCCAGATGCAGGCAAATGGAAAAGTTCAATTAACAACTTTGCCTGTGCTTAACCCAAAAATTATCAAGCCGTCTATACTCCATTGTTTTTAGCACATGGTCGTACGGAAAAGTCGACGAGTAGCAAGGCCTTCTGTTGTGCTGATGTAATGGGTAGTCAAACGGTAAAACTGGAATCAGCGCAAAAACAAAAATCAAATTTCAAAATAATTTCTGATTTAAATCTATAATCTCTACATTACTTTTCGAAAATTAAAAAGCGTTTAAATTAATAAAACCAATCCAGTCAAAACCATGTATACAAAATGCCCCAAATATATGTCCAAACATACACCTTGAAACAATTTGTTTTTTAATTGCAAACGTTTTATTGTAATTTATTAAAAAATCCCAAACTTTCCAGCGATGCTGTTATTTCCAGTTCTAATATTAAATTATAGACAATTTAGTTATAAAATTGTTGAAAAATCTCAGCGCCACCTGGAATTTGAAAACTGCTCATTCACTCACAGGCAACGGTCGAAAATCGCCATCCACACGGCAGACGTTAAATCAGTGCTACAATTTGATTAACCCTGTAAGTAAATTTTACTCAAAATTACTTCCCTTAATTAAAAAAAAATACTTTTCTCTCTTTTTTAACCAACCAATACATTGAAATGGATAATAATTTTTTTAAAGTACCTATTTCTATTTCGGCTTTTGACTTCAACGTTCAGACTTGAATAATTTCATTCAAAACTGGTAACTTCTCTTGTTAAAAACTGTTTTTTTGTTTTTTAAATTTCTTCTTAAAATTTAATTTTTATTTTTTAATTTAATTTAACCGGTTTGAATAAAACGTCTCCCTTAAGCAGATAGTTTGAGCCCACTTTGCAACGAAGTTTTATCGTATTTTCATAACAAATTCGCCCCAGTTTCCAACAAAAAAAAAGCTTCAATCGGTAAATTATTAGGGCATAAAGTTTTATGTGTAAAATATTGGTAATTTTTCCTGTTGAAAACGTGCTATCGAACGGTTAGTTTTAGGGTCGCCATATTACGACTTATTTCAACCGTCTTTTCATAACAAATTCGCCTCAGTTTCCAGTAATAAAAAGCTTCAAACATCAAATCATTATTAGGAAATAAAAAATACATTTTCATTTCGGGAAAAGTGTATAAATTGGACATTTTTTTCTAGAAAAACCATGCCTTCGAACGGTTGGTTGGGTGTAGCCACGTGGCGACATTTTAGCCTATTTTAACCACGTTTTCATAACAAATTATCCACGGTTTCTAGCAACAAAAAAGCTTCAACCGATAAATCATAATTACGAAATGAAGTATTACATCTACAAAAGTATAAAAATTAGTCATTTTCGTTGTCGAAAACGTGCTGTCGAACTAACAAACGGTTAGTTTGAGAACCGCCATATTGCAAAGACATTGTGACTTATTTCAAGCATGTTTTCATGACACTTCCGTCACTGTTTCCAGCAACAAAAACCCCAACGAGTAAATCGTTATTTCGAAATAAATAATAAAGTTTTATACGCATAAAAGTAGAAAGATACGTAAATCGGTAATTTTTTCTGTCGAAAATGTGCTCTCGAACGGTCAGTTTCAGGGTCGCCATATTGGAACGATATTCTGGTGTATTTCAAGCAGCTTTTCATAACAATTTCGCCACAGTTTCAAGTAATAAAAACCCAACCAGTAAATCATTATTAGGAAATGAATAATACATTTCTATACGTATAAAAGTAGAAACGTATTTAAATCGGTAATTTTTCCTGTCAAAAACGTGCTCTCGAATGGTTCGTTTTTGACGATCGCCATATTGCGACGTCATTCTATCTTATTTAAAAAGTAGCTTTAATTTTTTTTTTTTTTTTAATAAATTCACCTGTTTCCTGCGATCTTTATAAGCTTCGAACAGTTAATTTTTTTATAGGAAATAAAGAATAAGTTTTTATTTGCACAAAAGTATGAAAATTGGTAATTTTTTCTGTTGAAAATGTGCGCTCAAACTTAGTAACTCTTAGTTTGCTGGCGCCATATTGCAACGATATGCCACCTTATTTCAAGCATATTTTCGTAACAAATTTGCCACTTTCCAGTAATAAAAAGCTTCAAACAGTAAATCATTATTACGACAAAATGAAAAACAATTATTTGCAGAAAAGTACTTAATTCGATAATTTTCCTTGGCTAAAACGGGCTTTTGGTTTAATCGTTGAATGTTGGTTGCCATATTGCAATGACGTTCTAGATTATTTCAAGCTTCTTTTTGTAACAAATTTGCCACTTTCCAGTAACAAAAATCTTCAAACAGTAAATCATTATTACGACATAAAGATTAAATTTTTATTTGCAGAAAACTATTTCAAATCGATAATTTTTCTTGGCTAAAACGGGCTTTTGGTTTAATTGTTGAATGTCGCCACATTGCAATGATGTTCTAGATTATTTCAAGCTTCTTTTCATACCAAATTTGCCACTTTACAGTAACGAAAAGCTTCAAACTGTAAATCATTATTATGACATAAAGATTAAATTTTTATTTGCAGAAAAGTATTTCAAGTCGATAATTTTTCTTGGCTAAAATGGGCTTTTGGTTTAATCTTCGAATATCACCACATTGCAATGACGTTCTAGCTTATTTCAAGCTTCTTTTTGTAACAAATTTGCCACTTTCCAGTAACAAAAATCTTCAAACAGTAAATCATTATTACGACAAAATGAAAAACAATTATTTGCAGAAAAGTATTTCAAGTCGATAATTTTTCTTGGCTAAAACGGGCTTTGGTTTAATCGTTGAATGTCGCCACATTGCAATGACGTTCTAGCTTATTTAAAGCATCTTTTCATAATTGATACGTCAGAGTTTCCTATTACAAAAAACCCCAGCCAGTAAATGTTATTAGGAAATAAAGAATATATGTATGTAAATTGGTCATTTTTCCTTGCTAAAACGAGCTATTTGGTTGTTCGTTTGACCATCGCCATATTTCAACAAAGTTTCATCTCATTTTAAAGAGAAACCGGACACAGAGAGTGAAACAAATTTGCCAGTTTCCAGTGATAAAAAAAAACTTCAAACAGTAAATCATTATTAGGTGTGGTTAGGGCGAAACAATTCATTCAGACACTTCGATCGATTATTGAGGATGTCCAGCAAATTATTGGGTAATCTGTGTTAATATCAGCTCAGATGCTCATAAATGGGAGTGTACCAGATTGTGCCTCCTGACAGCGGCTCATAACAGCCATTACCATACCCATGTGTATGATGTGTAGGCACTAATCAGATCAAGATCACTTCCTCACGCCGGTTTTCTCGTGCAGATGAGCCTCATGTTTGAACGATGTGTTTTATTCCACAGTTTGTGGTCATTGGTATTTTCCTTAAATGCACAATACACCAAATTGCCTGTGTTTTGCTTTAGCTTTTGCAATTCTTTGGTGGTGAAGTTCTCAACACTTTTCACAAATAAAATGACGTTTGATTGAGTTTCTGGCATAGGAAAACACTGCATATCACCACCTTGCGCATTGCTATTTCATCTATATGACCTTTAAAAACTGAGGAAAAGTCATTTGGGGGAACTTCCTGATATTGACATCATTGCTCGTAGGCAGTTTTACTCCTATGATTGCCTTCGCATTTCCAGTGATGCCACAATGGCTTGGTGTCCATGTGAACATCACATTTACATTTGCAGTCTGCAGTTGTTTTAATCAGAGAAAAATGCCTTGCATCATCTGTTTGAGAAATGATTCCTCAACTGCATTAAAACCGATGACGAAGCAATGCAGACAAGAATGTGATTGTAGGGAGATGGAAAGTATACGGATGGCTTTTTGTGCTGCTAGTAGCTCCACTGAAAAATTACTACACAGTGGAAACAGTTTGGACCCGTATGTTCGCGTGCCAGAAGCAATATTTGCTTAGTGTAAAATTTGATATAAATAAAAGTATATAAATTGGTCATTTTTCCTTCTAAGAACGGGTTCTTGGATTGTTTAGTTTGAGTGTTGTCATATTGGAATGACTTTCTAGCTTATTCTAAGCATCCTTATATTTTTCTCTTTTAAGCATCTTTTGGGACACAATAAACAAATGTTTAACCTTCATGCAGGCGTGACTTTTTTTGTCACTCATTTTCACATGTTTTCATCCATTATCTCATCCCGATCCTTTTTGAACTAGGGTAGACTAACACATGTTTAATCATTGAAAAAATGAATCACAAGCAATACGAGATCACTAGACATCAGTCTTTTGAAATAAAAGTAGTGCAGAAAAAAATGAAACCTGTGAAAGACATTATTCATTACCGTCTGAATCTTTTTGATTCGATTGATGTCCTCAGGATTAGAAAAACATGCCCTAAAAGGGGTGAAAAACACCCAGTCCCTTATGAGAAGATAAATTTACACATTGTAGGTAGGTATATTTGGAAGGCACTTACCTATAATATTATTATTTTATGATTAATACCTAATGATAATAAGAGAAAGATATTAAATAATAATTGAGAGAACAGGTCCAATTTGTTTTGGAAAAAGTGCATTATGATTTGGAAAAGATTGAATTAGACTTGGAAAATGTTTAATCAAATTATTTTGGGAACTTTCTACTATTTCTTTAATAAAAAATATTTACATTGAAATTTCTCCATGTTGTCTGCAATTTGATCATTACTGGGACCTTAGTGAGGACAAATTACACTATTTCTTTATTTCTGTCAAATAGAGTTCTTAATTTTTTTAAAATGTATAATTTTTAAATTGGTTGGGGATGAAAAAAAATGGTTTAATTGTTGAAACAATTAAATTCACTAATTCGTGGTCCGCTTGACTAATTAATATATTACAATTAATTAAGGTTTTTAGTTGAGATAAAAAAATCAATGGCACGAGCGGTTTTCGAACCCACGATCTTCGGCTAGATACGCCGCTGCTCTACCACTTGAGCTAAATTCAAAAGGTGGGGTTGAGATGGGAAGTTGGTGTCCGAGTGGATCGAGGTCACGATAGTTCAAGTGGTAGAGCAGCGGCGTATCTAGCCGAATATCGTGGGTTCGAATCCCACTCGTTCCATTGACTTTTTTATCTCAACTAAAAACCTTAATTAATTGTAATATATTAATTGGTCAAGCGGACCACGAAATTAGTGAATTTAATGATTTAAAATGAAGTATACTTCACTCAAGTTCTCCGTGGCCATTTCATTTGTCGTCGAGGATCCAATCCGATTACACGACATTTGAAAAATGGCAAAAACGAGGGAAAATTCAAAAGGTGGGGTTGAGATGGGAAGTTGGTGTCCGAGTGGATCGAGGTCACGATAGTTCAAGTGGTAGAGCAGCGGCGTATCTAGCCAAAGATCGTGGGTTCGAATCCCGCTCGTGCCATTGACTTTTTTATCTCACCTAAAAACCTTAATTAGTTAAACAATGTGGATTTTAACCTGACACATCATCTCAAACATTGCTCCCTATATTTATAAAATCTTGGATGACTAAACATTAGATAATTTTATCAATATTAAAAAAGAAACCAATTTGGAGCAATTCATCATTCAACTTGGTATTTTTATTTTCCTAACAGATCACAAACAAAAATATTTTATGCTGAATGCATAGGGGCATTTATTGGAACTTCTTCACTCACGGATTTGTGCGTACATACCTTTTAAGTAACGTAGCCTGATTGTATTAAAGATGATGATAGGTGTTGGTCGGCGAATGAAGACCCAATAAGTGGCCCTATGCCAGATCAGCATAAAATATTTTTGTTTGTGATCTGTTAGGAACATAAAAATACAAAGTTGAATGATGAATTACTCTTAGTTGGTTCCTTTTTTATGTTGATAAAATTATCTAATGTTTAGTCATCCAAGATGCAGCAGGCTCACAGACCAACACCCATCATCAACCACAAAAATATTTTAGTTCAAAATTGTTTAGAGAGATTGTACTCTAGATAAACCTATTGTTTTTTTTTTCTAATCTTTTACGACAGCCTGTCCTCACCATTTTGGTCTGTCTGCTTTTCGACCAACATCTCAGTGTTAGTTCGTGTTTACGATTGACAAAATAAGACATTTACTCACAGATCAGAAAATAACAAGCTATAAGTTATGACCCTGCAAACTGAAAATTGAATATTAAAAGAAGGCTAATTAAATTTTTAGATTTCATTCTTTTATTAACAATTACGTTTTGGCATTGATTTACCACAGGGAACTGTTTTAGAGCCTATATCATTTTTTACATACATCAATGAACTTAATAACTTAACTTAATCAATATCTCTTTTCTAATCTGAAACTTCTAAAAATAAAAACATTAATCTAGTTAATAAAAAAGATATTTTTCAAAATAATAATATATTGTTTCAGCAGTTGTAAAACACAAAATGGAAATCACCAATACTCCAAACAATGAAGTGTAAGTAAATTTTTTTAAATAATATTTTTTATTGTATAACAAATAGCACTTGGATTGGATTTAACATGTATTATATATTTTTCTTTTATTTTTGTTAATTTAAAAAAAAAAGTTAATCATACGCTTTACTTTTTGGTTTTGTACTGTAATTGAAGTTTAAAAACTTATAGTACTGCTTCAAATTAATATTAATTTAAGGATCTTAAAAATTCTAATTGTGCAGTGTTTATGATTTTTTGATTGTATAATTACTGTTTTCTTTTAATTAAATTTATTAATAATACATAAATTTTGTAAGCCATGGCTTTATTGTTTGCTAGTTTTTAATAAATGCAAGACTTTTTGAATGATTTTCAAATATTAAAAGTCACAATAAATTATTGGTATTATGCAATTTTATATAAATTAGTCTAAAGGTGACATTGCATTCCATATTTTCAAAAACTTGTGATGCACATCAATGCTCTGGATCTCTCCACTGTCGGTCTTTGTGGAAGACCAATACATAAGTTGTGGAAGAATCTTTCAAGAAAACTACACCCTTATGCTATTTCACAGTCAAATCAATAAGAAATATTATTTTTTGATTTTTTTTGAATATTGAAAAAATTGAGAAAAAGCAATTACTTACGATAAAAATGACCTAATGTAAAAGAAATAATTTTGGTTTTATAAAGGCCAGATATATTTTCTTTGATTTTGAATTAACAAAATTTCTAATTTCAGGTCCGTGCCTCACATTGGACAGACGGCAATTATAAATATACACATGGAAGAATGGATTCAGTAGGTTTATTATTAAACAACCCTATACAAATATAACATGGACGTTATAATGTTATTGTTGATTTTAATAATTTTGGTTCTGGAGTTTGGGTGCTCTAGGTCTCTTCCTGGGGGTGGCTTTGGTCGGCTCGCGCGGGTCGGGCGGGTGGTGTCACTGGCAACACGGGACACTGGCCGTATGCATATAAGCAAAGCCACAAAAAAAAAAAATAATAATAATAATAATTTTGGTTTAACAGCAAACTATTTTGAATTAAATCAGACAGCAACTAATTATAAATAAAATTTTAAATTTACTTATCATGTTCCAATAATGTTCTAAATTTTCAGGAATGGCATTACACGGTTTTACAGAGTTCTTTCTGAAGACCCAGTGAACTCTGTAAAACCCGTGCTTGGCATTATGTAAGTATCATAAATATTAACTTAACTTTGAAGTGTATTGATAAAATAAAAAGTATAAATAATATAACAGATTTAATGTTAAATTGTTTATTTTCAGTGATTCCAAGGGAAATGTCGTCGACATGTCCAATGACAATTGGCCAATTGACGTTGCCGAACACACTACCGATAATACTTCGTAAGTTTTCCCGTCCGTATCTTTTCTTTTCAAAAAAAAATTCAAGAAGACATAAAACATCAATTTTTGTAAACGTGTGTACGAAAAATAAATTCACAGCGAAATAAAGCAACTGGATAATCTGAACTAACTTTTATTTTAATATTTAAATATAGATTATATTTTTAGCGATAAGATTAACTAGGTCTTGTTAACAAGTTATATAAGTAAATAGATTTTTTTAGATAAATCAATAATCACCTTCTTGAAGTATTGTTTATTATTTTGTAATATATTTTTCATTATATACTTAATTCATTTAAAGAATAATTAAATGAAAAACTTATTAAAATCTCAACAAAAAAAACAGTTATATTGAAAATAATTTAAGCGAAGAGCATTAATGGATAAATTGTTTATTCAGTTAAATCATGCAATCATGGAGTTAGCGTAAGGAGAGAGGTTATGGACATAAAATCATCGATAAGAAAATTATAAGTAGAATAGATTCGCTATATCATTTCGTCATGAGTTATGCATTTAAATATCTACGATAACCCTTAGGCTAGTTGTCAATTTACAATTTCTAAGTAGTGGCTGAGCAATGTAAGAAAATTAATTAAGGTTTTTAGTTGAGATAAAAAAGTCAATGGCACGAGCGGGATTCGAACCCACGACCTTCAGCTTGATACACCGCTGCTCTACCACTTGAGCTATCGTGACCNGTTCGAATCCCGCTCGTGCCATTGACTTTTTTATCTCAACTAAAAACCTTAATTAATTGTAATATATTAATTGGTCAAGCGGACCACGAAATTAGTGAATTTAGTAAATTAAAATAATTTTTTTAGCAAGAAACCAAATGATTATTTATATTTTACAACACAAAAAACAAACTGAGTACAAATTTTTAGAAAAATTTTTTAAAAAATTGTTTTTTTTTCTCAAAGAAAGTAATTTTTCATCATTTTTTTAATCTACCCCAAACATAAATAGATTAATAGATTCCTATTTACATAATTCACTGAGTGAGGGTGCAGTGCTCGATATCCGTCCATCAGCTTTTACATTGTACAACTAATCTAATAAAAGTCGATGGGGCTCTCAATATTTTATCATCAGACTTCTCCCACTCACTACACATTCACACTAATGAATACATTCATTCTCAATAAACACAAAAGATTGAATAATAGTATACACGAATCCAATCTTTCTTGCCAATGGGCCCAAGAAATAAATAATTTATCTTTTTATTATGGGTTTTGGTGTATGTGTGCAGGGTGCATGTATTTCAAGGTTATTATTACTTTTTTGTTCAAAAATTGGTATTCGAAGTTTTTTGGGGGTGCAAAACACGAATATCAACTTTGTTTTCTTGCTTAAAAACTATTTTAATCTGGATTTGCTTAAGCATTTTAATATAATGCTTGTCAATCCATCTCCCCTGACTATCACTCTGAGCATCGGTGAAGAGCGGTTAAAAATAGTAAATCTTTGCATCTTTACGCAAGGCAGACAGTTCGAAAGAAAATGTGATTTTTTTTTTTTTTTGCATAACAGTCATTTTTTGACCAATTTAAAATCCGATTGCACTATTGTTATCAGGGTAAAAAAAATCTTAGAAAAGATGTGCCAGGATGTACATGCTCATAGTTGAAATTTTGGACTGAACTGGGCTTGGGTGCCCTGTATAATTTTTCGACAAAAAGTTAAATTTTGAAACTAGGGTAAAAATATTAAACACGTATTTTTTGTTTTTTTGATAATATCATTGGTTCAAGAGAAATTCTGCATCTAAAAAGGACACCCTGTATAGGATAAGATACCCATGTTATGGAGCTGCCAAATGTAATTTTGATGTAGTCTTATCAATTTATATATAACATGCATAATAAGGAAAATTAATACTAATAACCAAAGTATCTAGCAAAACATAGAAATACATAGAAATTAACAATGGATTTTAAATATTAAACAGAGCTATGTGTTTAGAAATCAATAATGGGATATACATAAAATGGATTTGAAAATAGTACATAAACCTGATCTAAACATTTATACCTTCAGTGAAGAAATTAAAGATTTTTAAAAACGCCAATAATGTCTTCATATGAGAAGTGTATATATGCATTAGCTGTGTGCATTAACCTATTAATGGGTTTTTCTTTGATGTAATCAGTCTTAGGAGAAATGAATATTATATGTGTCCAGGATGAGAGCTGGGGAATTTTTTAAGACTAGTTGGAAAAGTAAAAGAAGATGCTTGATCTGGCTATTCACAAGTTTATAAAGGAAGATGAGGTCAAAGTAAACAATTTTCTTTTAAAAAGTTAAGATATCAAAGGAATCCAAAATATTAAAGTAGTCATGAACAGCCCGGATAAGTTTATGTTTGTAGGCTGAATATCTTAGAAATTTATCCAGAACCCTTTCTAGTTGTTTATTGTAATATGTATATTAGTTGCCAGAACAGGTTAGGTGTTGACACACAGCGCTCATCACCGTGAGGTAAAGGCCCAGGTTTGAATACAATGGTCTTGCACATACTTACAAATGAGCTTTTTTTTCTCTCTCAAAAACACAAATAGACTTCTTCTGTTGCGCAACTCGTTAAAAAAATTATAGTAATAAAATAAGGGTTTTTGGGTCAGCGACGGGTTAGCCTGATGATGTCCCTGAGAGCTCGATGTATTTGTGATATAGGTGATGCAAGAATTGAAATTCAACTCACAATCAAAAATGACACCAAGATCTTTAATTTCAGAGAGTTTGTCAAAGAAGTATAGAGCCAATCATAATTAAATGGGTAGGTTTAATGGGTGTAAGTGACAACATTACATTTCTTAATATTCAGGATTCAAGAGCACAGTTCAAATCAGACTAGAGATCAAGATTAACCAAATAAATCGAACACATTGTTGATGGGAAAAAAGATCTATACATTTTGTTCACAATCATTGAGAAAAACAAACTTTTCTATAAAACTAATCAATACAATGACATAAGATGTATAAATACACTTGCAAAATAAATATTTTTTTATATAAATTTCTTTTAGTGATATTAGTAATAATGGATTTAGTGAGGTGGACGAAGAGCAATTCTGCACGAGTTATAATGGAAATAAGGATGTAATGTAAGTCATTTTTATTTTATTTTACTTTTTTCTTCCTATGGAGAAAATATATTAAATGATTTTTTCACATAAGAAATGAGAAAACTGTATTTCAATATAAAACAAATCAATCAAAATGGGATAAAAATTCTTACAAAGTAAATATTTCTTTTATTTAGAGATATTGGTAGTAACGAATTTAGTGAGGCAGTCGAAGAGCAATCGAGGATGAGTAATGAAAATAAGGATGTCATGAAAGTCGTTTTATTCATTTTTTTTATTTATTTATTTATTTTTTTTATTTATTTTTTTTTGTGAAAACATGAATATATTTTCCCATAGGGGAAAATATATTAATTGATGTTTTCATATAAGTAAATAGAAATCAAAATTTTAATGTAAAACATCAATCTAAATATGATTAAAATATTTACAAAGTATTTGTTTTATGTAAATTTCTTTTATTTAGTGATCTCTGCAGTAATGGAATTAGTGAGGCGGACAAAGAGCAATCCTGCACGAGTAATAATGGAAATAAGGATGTCATGTAAGTCATTTTTATTTTTTTAAATTGCATTTTTTCTGCCTACAGAGAAAATATATTAAATATATTTTGTTTTGAATATAAAACCAATCATTCGAGTAGAATAAAAAATACAAAATAATTATTTGTTTTATGTAAATTTCTTTTACTTAGTGATATTGAAAGTAATGAAATTGATAATATGGTCAAGGAGCGTTAGTGCATGATTAATAACAAATTAGGATATAGAGAGACATTTTTTACTTACAAAGTGCTTTATGAGAGCATTTTTCTCATAATCAATTATGTGGAAAAGCATTTACCATCAAACTATTGAAAATTTTGGTGTTGTAGGAATGCAACAATGTGATATTTGTTTTATGTAAATTTGTTTTGTTTAGTAGTGTTGAATGAATGTAATAAAATTGATAATGTGGACAAGGAGTATTCTTGCATGACTAATAACTGAAATCAAAATATAGTGAGGCATTTTATTTTTCTACTTGCAACATGCTTGAGCAGATTGTTTTTTCACATAACCAATGATAGAAAAATACTATAAAACTAATCAGAATTTTGTTATTGGATTAATAAAATGCTTTCAAAATATATATTTGTTTTGTGTAAATCGTTGTCTTTAGAAATATCAAAAATAACAGATTTGGTCACATGAAGAATTTTTACATAATCAATAATAGAAATCAGAACAAATCGTGTCATTTTTTATTTGTTATCTCAAAAGGAAAAAATTAGATCTTTTTTTCACACATTCAATTAGCGGAAATAAGAGTGTTTTTTTTTTGTTTCAAGATTTTGCTTCATGCTCTTTTAGTTTCTCCAGTTGATTGGAAAATAATGAATAATTTGTGTAACCTCACCTGGACCTAATCCATACCCTAATGCATCACCTAACCTAACTTGCCCCTAAGTCCCTCAATCAATGTTAAAAAATATATTTTACTATGAGGTTACTCGATACTAGCTGCCCCTAAATTTAAGTCACCCTGTCACCATCCAACCTAACCCAACTGCGGTAACAATTAAATCTTAAATTTAATTAAAATTAAAATGATTTAACCTAACCTTACCCGTCTATAAATGTAGCACTCACCCTAATTCCACCTAACCTAGCCCAACCCCGGTAACATGAAATAATGAAGCGGAAAAAAAAGTTTTCTATCCAGCCCAAAAACTTATATTAAAAAACGTATATTAACCGTAAAACTAATCAATGCAATAACAGGTTGTTTGAAATATGCTTACAAATTTATTTTCTTTTGTATGAATAACAGGAATGAAATTGTTGATTTAAACAAGGAACATTTCCTGACTGAAACCAGAAATCAGGATGTGTAAGTTATTTAAATTTCTTATTTTATATTTTTAATTTAACCTTTTTTTTTACAAAAATTTTCTTTTCTTTAGCAACAACAGAACTAACGTACTTAATGATATGAACAAGGGTGACTTATATGTGGTTAAGAATGGAAATGCCTATCTTAGGTAAATCAGTTTTTGTTTTTTAATTTCAATGGTTTAGAGAAAAATATGTTACTGTCAATTAGGCTAAATAATTTGATTTCTAATTTGTCAATGTTTTGGATTTTTTTTTTTTTGAAATTTACAAAATAATAATTTAGTTTAATGTCTTTTTTTCTAGTGATATTGGAAGTAGTGAAATTGATAACGTGAACAAGGATCATGCCTACTTGTCCAGTCAGGATGTGTAAGCCTTTTTTTTACTTAGAAAACTAGTTTAACCTACAAATCAATTAGAAAATTTATTTTTCAAACAATTTTTTTTAGTATTAGCACGGTGAAATGGGATCATTCTTACGTGGCAATGTATGGAAGTGCTGGAGTAACGTAAGTAGTGTTTTTACATTAAAAGTGTGCAAATATGTAATTTTGTTGGATTGATCCTCACAGTAACAAGTAGCAAAAAATTGTTTGCATGAAATTGTGTTTGTCATCTATGTTTTATGTATAATTGCTTAATAACATCTCGCAGATTTATATACATACAGAAAGAAACAACATCCAGAGCATGAAACAAAATACTCCATACAAAACCTTATACCCGAAACATCGCAATTAAGTTTGCAATTGGCTATACTTGAATACATCAAATTATATATATATATATAAAAAAAATAGAACAAAAACTTAATAAATCATAAAATTAAATAGAAACTTTTACAGATGAATTTATAATTAGAAGCATACAAAAATAAATGTAAAAATAGAAATTCTTTTGTTTCGTATTGTTCATATAAACTTGAACTAAAAACATGCAACGGATGTGTATGTGTAAACCTGTGATGTGTTTTCTGAGTAATTTGAAATTTAAAGGTTTTGTTTTATTTGTCAAAGGGAATGTGTGTAAATTTCATCATGCATGTAATTTAGTAGTTTCTAATTTAATTGTCAATGCTTTCAGAAGAAAGATCAACTGTGATGATGATGTATACAGATTTGTTAAAATTATTGTTACCAAAAAATATGTAGTGTAAGTTAATTTTACTGCATGGAAGAAAAAATAATAGAATATGTGCTACATTTATACCAAATAACGAAATCGTAGCTTTATTTGTGTGTAAATTACTTGACCTACATTATCTGTTCAATACTGATTATTGTGAAAGACATTTTATTTTAATATCACTAAAAATACAAAACTAAACAAAAACCAATAATTATTACAAATTATTTATTTAATTACAAAACACAATATCTGGCATTATCGTTCTTTCTTATTCTGCCACATAGAAATGTAATGTTAATTCTTAAATATGATTGAATTTTTTCTACTGTCTTTTATATTTATATAATTAATTTTTATTTACTTTGTTTAGATCTCAGGCTATATCTTCTGAAGAGTGTTGTGATGTGTAAGTAATACATTAAGTTGAAATTACAATTAATTAAGGTTTTAAGTTGAGATGAAAAAAAAGTTGACACGAGAGGGATTCGAACCCACAACCTTCGGCACGATATGCCGCCACCTGAGCTATCGTGATCTCGATCCACTTGGACATCAACTCCCCATCTCAACCCCACCTTATGGGTTAAATTAAGTTGAAATGTTTTTCTTTTTTGCTACTTTTCTCTCGAACTACCGAAGGTGGGGAAGCCTTGTACTTTTGTATATTTCTTTTTTCTCAGTCGTATTTATTTAATACCATAATGAAAATCAAAGCAGTTATGAATTCATTTGTTGTATTATTTCAGGGCTTTGGATGGAGGTGCACTCTCACCTTCTGCGCTAACAGTTTCATCGGAGTAAGTTCAATTTAATTTTTAAAGAAATTGCATGTCAACTAAAACTCAATACAAATAGATTAAATTTCTTGCGATAGAAAAACACTTAAATTTAAATTTTTTTTAAACACGTGAGTAAAGCCTTCAGCTCTAAGCCTGGAAGGAAAAAACTAGTATCATAGAAAACTCAGGCTTCACAGGAAAAGATTGTATTATGAATACATAACCTAACATAACCCAATGGCATGCACACTAATAACATGTACTTTTTTTTTTTTTTTTTTTTTTTTTTGCAAGGGTTTTGAGTCATTTTTGCATTTTTTTTTTTTTTTTTTTTTTTCAAAGTGCAGGGTAATTGAAAGTAACTTAAAAAAATTTCTTCTTTGCACTTGCGTATTTTCTCTACCTGACAGAAAAACATGAAATTATGGTTACTTAACCTAACCTGTCCCTAACCCTAACACTAATTAACTCTAACTTTAATAAACCCATGTACTATTCCAAAAAGCATTGTACTAATAATTTGTTAAATGTTTGGGGCAAGTGAAAGTGTAACTAATTTTTAAAAAATAAGTAAACTAAAAAAATTGTTCTTCGCACTTGCATGTTTTCATCGACTTACAGCAAAACAACAAATTTTAGATGTTTAACCTAATAAGTCCCTAACACTATTATTTAACCCAATGTTAAATCTAACCCAACCTAACGTAACCAAACCCATATAGTCTTCCAAAAAGCATTGTTCTATAAATTAGGGAAAAACCATCACTCAGAAAAATTTGTATCGAGCCCAAGAACATCTTATTAAAGTTTACTTTTTTGATTATTCATTTCATTAACAGATTTTACATTAAGTGTAGACTTTTTCTATAAATGCATACCTAGTTTTTGAGAATTTTTCTTTTTACGATTTAAAAAAATATCAATAGCTCATAGAAAATTACTTTCAAAAAATACTAACAATTTTTTAAATAATAATTTCAGAACGATGGATTCTGGTTCTCGTGCCTCATCAATAATAACAATTTCTTCAAGGTTAGTTCTTTCTTATTTTATCATTTATTTTAGTTATCTAAATCTATCTATATATTCAAACATTTGTATTTTAGAATACTCTAGATTTATGGTTTTTACTAAACCACATAGTGAATTCATCAGATATACACGGTGTTCCGTTTAAGATGCCTCAATCACAAATATATCTTTACATTTGCCAAGTACCAAAAGAAAAGTCAAGTAAAAGATAGTTTTTACTTCTAGTTGTTTATAAATATGCTAATTGTGTATCATGAAAATTATTTTAAAAAATCCAGTTAAATTACAGATCGGAAACATCTTTTATTTACAAGCACTATTAAATGTGATGGTCAAAAGTATAGGTTATACGTGAAACAAAATTATTAAATAAAAAAATACCATTTTCATGATGCACAATTAACATGTTTATAAACTAGAAGTAAAAAAGTAAAATAAAAGCTTTGGTGGACCAAAGAGGCCAGGTCGAGAAGGGAAAGGGCCAGACTTACCTGGTTATGCATAGGTCTTCTAGGCTTACACATGGGTGCTTGCTTCAGTACCTCAGGGCTTATTAGTTTTTAAATGTATAGTATATGTTGGTGCGAATATCTAGTACTCTGGGGTAAGAATTAATTGTCTGGAGTTCTGCAAAGAATATTAGAGTGAATGTAATTTTTCAACCAGCTTCGAGTAATATTAATTCCTGGGGGGGGGGGGGATTTCTGACTATTGAGGCCAAAGGATACCAGCATCATTGCAATATCCAGTATCATGATGCCAGAAATGTGCTTCAAGCTATTTTGCTGCAGAGGGGGGACTTTTTCAGGAGCGTTGACTATTCACCGTGGCATTGTGGGTGCTCTCTGCACTGTCCAGATTTTTCAGCCGGTGGCAGGGTTCCCATCACAAGTAGTGTTTCTGGGAGAAGTGGAAAGCATGGATCTTTGTATTTTCTTGTTATTTTAATATAATTTGACACCCTGAGGTACCTTCGACAGATTAGCAAGTTAAGGGATGGTTAGGGATGGTTAATAAATAACAAGTTAATAAAAAACAAAGTTAAGTTAATAAATAACACAGGAGACAAAATATGAGCGTGGGAGGAAAGAAGTATTTTCTGTTCAGTACGCACAGGGCCAGCAATGACCACTTGATGTTTGTCGGCCCATAAATAATACATATATTACTGCTACTACTTTTGCTTTGGACATTACTCTGTGAAGAAATATTTGCAATTGGGGTGTCTTAAAAGGGCCTTCATGTATATGTGTATAAAAAATAGAGGACTATTACAACAATAATTGTAACTTAGATTGAACATTGTGTGTTTAGGTCTTCTTCTATGGATTTCTTAAACAAAACTGAGGAAGATATTGATGATGATGTCCTTTTGTAAGTATTCTGAGAAAACATTGAATTACAGAACTCAAAAAAACAACAATGAAACACAGCACAAAACACAATGAATCCCTAACCCTACATAACCTAGCAAAACCCGTGCATACTCCAAAAAAGTATTGTACTATTAATTTGGGCACAGTACAGTGGGGTAAGTGAAAATAAAACTAATTAAATAATATATAGATACTAAAAAAATTGCTTTTCGCTCTTGCATATTTTCTCTGAGTCACAGAAAATTATAGAATTTGTGTATATTGAATCTAAACTGTCACTAAAACTCCCAATGTGATATTTTCATAAGGAAAACATTAAATTCAACAAAAAGAAAGGTAAATGATTGTAGAGGTACTTGCACTTAAAAAACAAAAAAAAAAAAAAAAATAGCTGTTATGATATGACATGTGCGTATTTTGGTTGACAGGTTACATTAGCTACGCCTAGCTTCATTTGAATTCTCATAAATCCCAATTCAATGTTTACTTGTGTACTGTTATAAAATGGAAATAAAGGAATCAACAAGTAATATATTCTTAGTAAAATATATTTAACAATTGTATATCTAAACAGTTCCGTGACTGACAGATAACGCACAAAACACGAGAAAGCCGTACTAACACTGCATCGCATTAGAAAGATACATTAAAACAGAGTCCTGTGTGGATGAATTTGCGGGTAAAAGCTAGCTTTACAAATATTTTGCACGGACATTATTATAGAAAATTAAAAGAGGAAAACTATAAATAAACAGGAGTTTTACTATTATCTGTAATAATTATTTTCATCAACATAATTGTATTGTAAAGAGTTATTTATAACTAACTATACAATCATAATATATATATAATTATGCAAATGCACTTTCTATTGATCCCCCGCAATCTGGCCCCTTGAAGCTAAAAATACAATAAAAAACTTTTATAAAAGAAAGTTATAAAAGAAGGCAGCATGGTGGGCTGGATCGGCAGAGAAACTCTCGAAGGTAGAAGAGGGTCATCCTCACTGAGAATAGGCCATGCGAGGTTGACACACGGCCACTTACTCCTGGGTCAAAGCCCATGTATGCGTCCTGCATGTAGAGAAAGGTTGCTTGATGTGTCCCACTCTCGAAAGGTGCAATTCCTTGGCTAGTCGAAAAGTCTTCCGAATCATAATAAAACAAGATATACAGAAGAAGTTAAGTACATTTTTATGATATTTTGGATACAAATTAACTTTTTTCGACGGAAGAGGTCGTGTTTGTAAGTTCTAGATTTACTGAACACGTTGAAATCTACCGGTCTCAATAATACCTAGAAGTAGAAGCGTAAAAAATCGCCGAAAGATTGCAGGCAACTTAAATCATCATCATATGACATGTGTAATGGGTTCAGAATAAAAATAATGAACTAATACTTCTTTGCCATGTAAACAATAAAATTTAAGCAAGAGGACTACAATTGTGGAATTAAACTGATTCCAACTAAAACTAAGTTAAGATTAGACCACAGGATGTGATTTAACCCATGAATCTTTACTACATTTCAAAATTTACAAAGGAAAACAAGGAAAACTAGAATTTATTAATAATTAATTAATTTTTTGATACATTTTTATTTGTAACAGGCATGCAGTTGACAACTTACTTTCCAGATGTAATAGGATGGTGTAAGTGTTCATTTTTGCTAATATTTTCTTATTTAACACACTTTACATTTTAATTAGTCAAAATGAATTTAATCCTACTTTTATCTTAATTTTGGATATTCTTTATTTTAGAAAACAAGAGGAACTCTCGCCGCCCCATTCAACGTGAGTTATTACAATGATTTGTTTTCTTACATTTTATATTAAAAAAATTTTATCAATCGTTTATTATGAAACCATGTTTGTATTTACTTACATTTAATTAAAATTAATTTCCATGCCATTTTATTTATAATTAATGAAAAATTATTCTTAAACTGAGAATTATGTACATGTAAATTGTTTTTATGTTAAAAATATCTTCTACATGAGAGTATTTATTAGCGTGAATGTACCGTGTGAGAGGGTTGATTGGGTATATGAGATTCCTCCATCAACCCTGTCACGCTATACTTTTGAGGCTAAACTATCTTTCGATTTTCTTATTCAACATCCAGCAGAACTTGGCACAAACATTTATGTAGATATTTATCAATGTATATTTAATTAAGATCAAATTTATGGACATCACAGGTAATAATTGCGTTACAATTTTTATATATTATAATCTATGATATGCGTGTTTTGAAGGAATGTTTTTGTACCCGTTTTCCTGATTTGTATGTTTCTCTTTTAGTTATTTAATTGACGATTTTCAAGTCAACGAACCATCTGAGAAAAACCATGATGACGAACAGTAAGGAATAAAACTTTTTAATTAATTGCACTCAATGCTTGATATTTAGATTTGAAAATATATAATAGTTGCATTATTTTTTTATTCTCTCTTTAAGCTATGCGGTCAAAGATCTTGAGGATGAACCACCTGAAAAAAATCGTGTCGAAGAAAGGTAAGACATGATCTACTGTATTGACAGAAACATTGCAACAATTTAAACCATGTTTAATGTGATTAATTAATTAAAATTTTGCATTTCAAAATAATTCGGTTGGGTGGACGCCATTTTCAAAATTATTGTACTGTTATTTGTACAAAGGTAAAAAAAAAGGATATAAAATGTAAAAAAAATAAACTAGCTTCTGCACACATATTTTTTCTGTGTTACAGAAAAAAAAATTGCATCATGGGTATGCTACCTAGCCCTTATCTAACCTAATGCAACTCGCACATGACCCATTAATGCGAAACCAAAATGGCCACACAAAAAATAATTGATATCTAGCCCAAATATATATTTTTGTTAAACTTAGTTTCAATTCCATGCGGCTTTTCCAAACTCTAATTGGTTTTGAGAGAATATGGACTATGCTGATGGTCATGAAAACATTTTAGACTTTGTCTTACAAGACAAGTAATATTTGATGCTTACCCTAACTTAATTAAGAAGAACGTTGCTAAAGTTAAGTGCAGCAGACTTATAAGCTGGTTCTTTAAAAAAAAATTAATTTGTTCATTACGGCACTAATCTAATAGAAACGATAAATGGTGGAGTGAGTGTTATTAATGCATTAATCTCCATGTTTGATTTTACATTTTTTAATTTTAAATTTTCAAATCAATCTAGTTTCCTCCTTTTGTTGAAACTGTATAATACCGTCGTATTTCAATTTAAATTGTATTTTGTTTCATTTTGATGTTCCTTAAATTCTGAAAATTTGTTCCATTTAGGCAAGAGGTTTTTAAATCTCATTTTAATTTCTCTACCGCTTTGTCCTATATATTTAATGTCATAATCATTACAATTAAATTGGTAAACCCCGCGTTTTGCCAAGTTGTCAACCTTGTCTTTAGGTTGAAAAAGGAGGGAAAATTCAAAAGGTGGGGTTGAGATGGGAAGTTAGTGTCCGAGGGGATCGAAGTCACGATGGCTCAAGTGGTGGAGTAGCGGCGTGTCAAGCCGAAGGTCGTGAGTTCGAATCCCGCTTGTGACGCTGACTTTTTTATCTCAAATAAAAACCTTAATTAATTAATTGAAAAACTTGTTTTTAGGTTTTGAAAGGTTTTGCACTAATCTAATACTGGCTTTTGAACCCTTTGTGACATGATGCTGAACAAATTTTCCAAAAATTTGAAATGGTCATCTCCCTTCAGGCTTTCCATTTGGAAATACTGTTAACAGATTTGTTCCACTGCTTAACAATTTCACCAGAGTGTTTTTTCTTAATCATGTACATTAGATTATCTTTTTATTTTGTATTGGCCTAAGAATGCTGGCGACAAAGTGCTCTCATGGAGAAGTTTGTGGAGAACGTGCCATGGTCATGTTAGTATAAATGTTATCCACATAAACAAATTATCTGTAATTTTCATTAAAATAAGTTTTTAATAGCATGACCCTGTTCACTAACATTTGGATCCATTGTCACCAGTACAAAATCCATCATTCTCAGCAAGCATGTAAAATATTACATATATAGGCATTATTGCTCAAGAGCTCAATCATCAGTCTTTGAGACTAAATTTGTTCTACAATCTCCAGATAAAAACTACGCGAAATGAGAAATATGCAGAATATAATTTTTTCCCACAGACCTTTTCAAATGTGGACAGAGATTTCAATGGAAAGTCGTTTGCACAGTCCAAATATATTTCTAGAAGAACACAAAATTAGTCTTAAACTGGCTAGCCTGTTCTTCATAACATAAACACCGTCGGGTATACAATCAAACTTCCCCAAATTCTAATAAAGGACAATTGTATTTCCCCGGCACTTCCATTTACTAAGAAAAGTTCTCTTAATAACCAGACGTTCCTATTTCTTTCACTTAATTTACATAATTTTTTATATATAGACTAATAATAAACAGACAAAATTCTATTACCAAGTGGGTATCCGCTTATGGGAAGTTCTGCTGTACTCAGAAGAGTAAAAACTGATGCAGCCCTTCTTGATCCAGAATCTTGAATGGGCTCTTCTAAAAGAATGGGCTGAAATCCAGCAAAGTTATATTTCCTGTCTGGTAGAAAATATGCCAAAGCTTTGCCTTTTCTATTTTTCATTTTCCCGAGCAATTATTGTTTATTTTACATTTTTATTTTCACTTTTTGAGGCAAAACATACTCAGTTGCTAAAAGAAGTATGATTCAGCAGCCAGTCAGTGTATTATAAACTTGCTATCTAAATCATGTGGAGCCAGTTATAAGTTTTCATGGATATTGTTTTTTATTTTTTAGCTTCATAGTTGACGATGTAGTTGAAGATATTCAAGATAGCCCNATGTCCGAGTGGATCGAGGTCACGATAGCTCAGGTGGTAGAGCAGCGGCGTATCTAGCTGAAGGTCGTGGGTTCGAATCCCTCTCGTGCCATTAACTTTTTTCATCTCAACTAAAAAACCTTAATTAATTGTATTATATATAAATTTCAAACAAGTGAGTGGAATTTGCCAGTCAGTGTATATAATCTTGCTAGCTATAATCATGCTTCGCTAGTTATAAGTTTTCATGGTTATATTGTTGTTTTTTATTTTTTAGTTTCATAGTTGACGATGTAGTTGAAGATATTCAAGACAGCCCGTGTGAAACGCCTCATGGTAGAAGGAACAACAGGTATGAAATTATTATAAAATACATATATTACATAGAAATATCAAACAAGCGAGTTGAATTTGCCAGTCAGTGTATATAATCTTGCTAGCTATAATCATGCTTCGCTAGTTATAAGTTTTTATGGTTATATTGTTGTTTTTTATTTTTTAGTTTCATAGTTGACGATGTAGTTGAAGATATTCAAGACAGCCCGTGTGAAACGCCTCATGGTAGTAGGAACGACAGGTATGAAATTATTATTAAAAAAAATATATATTATATATAAATATCAAACAAGTGAGTGGAATTTGCCAGTCAGTGTATATAATCTTGCTAGCTATAATCATGCTGAGCTAGTTATAAGATTTCATGGTTATATTGTTTTTTATTTTTTAGTTTCATAGTTGACGATGTAGTTGAAGATATTCAAGACAACCCGTGTGAAACGCCTCATGTTAATACGGACAACAGGTATAAAATTATCGAAACTGAAATCATTAGTGGATTAAATTATGCAAAAAAACATTGAGGTGCCAATTGGTGTTATGGGCTTGGCTTGTTTCAACGACTTTTGTATAAATATGAGTTGCTCTACCACTACCTAAGTGACGTTCGGTCTCCCAAGGCACCAAATCTCCATCTAACCTACAACTATTTTCCATATTTCAAAAAAATTAAATACTAATAATTTCAATTCATTAGAATTTCTATTTCCATGAGAATGACAGGCTGGAGTAATTTAGTAGTATCAACCCTGAAATTAATTCTTTGAATGAATTTCTGTTTCAGAATACAGGATATTGATGAAGTTTCTATCATTTCCATCAGTTCAGGGTATTTATTTTTACTTATTTTTTAACTTTATCATCTCTAGTGAAGTGACACACTTGTAAATTGAAACTGTTTTATACTTTTAAAATTAAATTAAATCTAGGAAGGGGAACAATAAAAAATATATTAAAATGTGGGAAATAAATACAAACACTAATGTAGTATTGTAAATTAAATTCATTAGATCGTTTAATTATAGAAACGTAATGCTCTAATGTAAACATTATCTTTAAGTTTAAAAAAATCTGTATGTTTCATTTTAAGGCGGTAAAGAATATGCTGGCTAATGAAGTACAGCACCAAAGTGGTTTAACACGTTTAGCACGGTGTTCGCCAATCTGGCGATGCAAATGTTCGGCCAGCCATCTGGCTTTACATCGATTGGCGCACTCACTCCTTACTTTTACGAGAATTAGTGGGGGCTGGTATTGTTGATTTCTTTTTTATTTTGGGGTTCAGGTGGACTTGCCAGTTTTTCAACCGTTCACTTCATTTCTACTTCCGACATTCCGTTGTGAAGTTTTGTGCATTTACTTTCTACTGTTTGTTTATTTTTTCAACTAACTTTTATAAAGAGGTAAGTTTAAGCATATATATATATAATATATACTTTTATTTTAACCTTACAAATTTATATTAGAATAGCAAAAAGTTTAAAAAAATTATTAAATTTTTTTAAACTTTATTTTTGTTATATTAATCATTGTTTGTGACTACATTATAACTTTTTTAAATTGTACATCCAAAACATTGTGTTATGGCAGAGCACCAACCTGGTCTGTCGAATGCTGGGCATGAAAATCCAACAAAACTGAAAGCAAAAAGGTAAACTATATTTTTATCATTTGTGAAGCATAATTTCCTATTGAATCATAAAAGGGTAATATTTATTTCAATCTGTTTTTTTTTTAGACTGAAGACTCTTCTTTGTTGGATCCAAAACAACAAGAAATAAAGGTCAAAGCACTTCGATGGTACCAAAAATTAGGAATACATATTTTTTGCATAATTTGAATTCATTGATTTAAAAAAAAAATGGGTGTCCATGATTTTCAAATTGAAATCATAAAACCACTTTTGCCATCTCCAACAACAAAGTCAAAAGCCTCAGACAATTAAATACACTTTCAGGAGTACATAAGAGTATATAAAGGGAAATGTAGTTTGATATGAAAAAAGTGTGTAGTTGGTTGGGCCAAAAATATAAGCAAAGATGTAACCTATTTGCCCTTAATGCCTCGTAATTTGCCCATAAACCAGCCAGGTTTATGAGAATTAGTTGCTTTCAGGAACATCATAACTATAATTGGCATGTTTCCAAAAGGAGTTCAATTTGTACACAGTGAGTTGCTAAGATTTTCAAAACAAGTTAGTTGTCGTTATTTAGAAATTATATTTTCGTATTGTAATTAATGTTTTATTTGTAACAGTTTTTGTATATTGGCCAGATTTGCAATGATTAGGGCATAACTTTAGATTTATAAATGTTATTTTTTTTTTTTTTTTTACTATTTATATAAAACTACATACGTTTTGTCATTTTTATTGTTTGTGAAAATATAAATTTTTTTTATAGTAGTACGATGAGTTTGTAAAATATTTATACCAACCTTTTATTTCAGCAATATCTAATTGTTCGTTACAAAAAGTAATACCTTAAAGAAAAGACACGTTGAAAAGAAATAATTTTTCGAGAAAACCTATAAAAACTGTAAATATCTATGTCAATGAAAGAAGGTAGAGACAGGCTAATATGCCTATTGGCGAAAGTGTCAAAACAGGGAATAAGAACGGTCTGTCACAGGTAAAAATGTAAAAATGAGTCGCCTCCGTGCTGAACGTGTTAAAGAAATCAAGATTATGAAAAAAAAAATAGACAGATGAATCTTACGGTTGTGTAAGTTGAAATGTTAATTTATGCCATAATCAATTAATAGCATTTTTTAAAATTATTTTGAACGCAACTTGACTAAATCCATTCTAATCGCTATGAATTGGTAATTATTAAAACATTATTTTCGCTTAAAATCTAACAAATTTTTAATTATCTAACCTGGCCATGTCATATTTAATCTAAACCAAGACAATTTCATTTTAAAATTATTAACATCAACAAGTAACATGAAAATGGTAGAACTTTAATTTTTTTTAAATACTAAATTGAGTTATAAAAGCATTGCATGCATTAATTACATACTTTAAATAATTTTTAGCTCCAGTGAAGACCCGTACGAAAAAATATTGAAATTAACTGAAGGAAGAAACAATTATACCGATGTGTAAGTTTTTTTTAGAAATATTTGGTGCTTAATTTGTTTACAAATGAATTTAACTCAACAAATTGCCGATGTGCGGTTAGGTTAACTATATCCTGACATCAGCTTTTCACTGCTTTCCTATAAAGTAAATAGATAAAAATGTGATAAAATCTTTATATTTTGTTGATTATGTTTTGGTAATTGTTAGTGTTTTAATTTAATTTACTTTTTTTTAGGTGCACTTCATTTACCCCGGATTATCATACCGACAGTGATGTGTAAGTAGTTGATCAGTTAAAAATGTCTAACAGAAAATATAAAAAGATGAAATAATCAAAAAGTGATATAGCATGTAATAAATACAAAAACAGCAGCATTTATCATACATATGAAGACCAATTTTATAAAAAGTCTATTTAAAATGGCTTTCTTATAGTTTCAGTTTTGATGAACTCCCAAGTGGAGCGGAGGAGTGGACTGACCAACTAGCGTAAGTAATGTAAAATACTATTCTTTTAATTTTAAAATGGGGTCCAAAGTGGATAAGTAGCAAAAAAGTCACATGTGCTTTGTTAGTGGTTCAATGTTTGCATCCCGGTATAGCTATTGAAATTTTATACCAGGATCAATTATTGAAATAGTTCGATTGGAAACGAGTTAACCAGGAAAATTTGGGTCAGGTTCAAATTCACTAATGGTACATTATCAATACGGTCAACTGTTGTCACCATGTAACCAAAACAATTTGGCTGCTAAAAATATAGAAAATGTTCATTAGTCTGACAGACCTTAGCAAGGATAAGCAGATAGAAATGATCAGTAACCAAATTTCAAGTTCATCACATTACAGGCATTGAGAAATCTCACAATAAACTTTTTTCATTAAAACTTCATTCTCTTGACATTGTGTAATTTAAAAATGTAAAATCCGTCAAAATAAATATTGTCCTCTTTTTTGGCTGGATATATAAACTGTTTGTGTGAAATATTTTACATAATCAATTTGGCATTGCATTACAAAGGAATGCTCATGAGTTGGGTATGGTTAGGGTTGAGCAATGTTTTTCGTGAAGAGAAAATGTGCAAATGCGATTTTTTCCTCCTTAAAGACGTGAAGTTTATAGAAATTTTTATGATCTATATAAATATTTTTATTAATTGGTTGAAAGGTTCACATAGCATGAACTCATGTGTTAACTTGTTTAATACCAATTATCTTTTAATGCATATTAATAAATAAAAAAAGTAATTTAGATTCGTACATGAGGTCTTAGATAAGAGGGGCTGGAGCATGAAATAAAATTCCAGCAGCTATGCCAGGATTTGAACCCTGGACCTGCCTGACAAATGTGGAAGTGGCAGACACTAATTTTTGTAAAGGCAATATTTTTATTATGAAAATGCGTGTCAGTCACACCAACTAAGTGTGTCTTGTTTCAAAAAGATACAGTTGTGAATTTAAACATGTTAATTGATGCTTTTTAGATCTACAGTTGAAGATATCTTGAACAGAACTGGAGAGTACAACAATGAATTTTTGTAAGCATTAAATATTTTTTTCTTTCATCTTTTATACCATAACCTAACATCTCATATGTTGATGAACATAATTAAATTAATTTCTTTTAGACTTTTTAATTATTATTAAAAATATTGTTTTTCTTTGTTTAAGAAATGCGATAGATTTCCACATTAATGTAACAATGGATCATATGGAGGATCACAATAGTATGTAAGCACCTTGAAATAGTTTTGATTATTGTTTCATTAAAGTGTATTAAATTTTAAAAACATTACTGTGAAGAGAAAAAGCTGGATTTTTATTGTAATTATGAATTATGTTTTTAGTGATCCTGACATAAATACTGGTTTTCTCAGCTGTGAAAACTGCCCATTGGGTCCTAGGTGAGTATATGAATCTATTTTGTTTTTATATTCTTTGAGCAGGTTAAGTTTTTGTATTTACTAGTTTTTAGGTAAATTAAAAGCCTATCCAGTTTAGGAGGTTGATGATATCAGGCCACAATAAAATTAATGTGGCCTGATATCATTAACCTCATAAAATAAAGTATTAAAGCTGACGCCCACAACATCCCACCGCCATATCTGTGCTTATCCAGATATGAAATTTGGTGGGTATTGATCAGTGGTCTATCCTCACTGGGTTTTGGAATTTTGTCATCTTCAGTGTGTCATTGTCAGAGTTGTGTTCTTCACAGAAGATGGCAAAATGCTAAAACACGTCTGACAAACCAACCTAATAAGGGTTAGACATGGACGAAATTGGTAATGACCAAATTTCATGTTCTTTTGGTGAAGAAAACAAGGAGAAATGTTGACATACCAATCAGTATCAAAATCTGTCCATTATCAGAATTAATGACACTTGACTAAAGACAAAATTCAACCACGCAGAAAATTAATAATTAAATCACAACAGTCAATTACAGTACAGATTAAATTCAATACCACTTAGCATAGAAAAATCATTTGAGAACTGTCTTATTTTTAAAATATGGATATAAATCCTACAATTAATAAAAAAGTAAATAAACCAACCAGACAATTCATTAGCAAAACAATACATATATAAAAAATTGGTGAAACCTCACACATATTTTCTCCAATTTACAGAAAATCCAGAATAAAACAAAAACCATGAATACCACCTAACTTAACTAGTTCCTAACCTAACATCTTAACCTATCCCACCTAATTAACACTTAACTTTAATCTTAACCTAACCTATCCCTAACCCTACCAACTCAACCTAACCTAACCACTAAACTAACTTAATACTTTAACTTAATAATTTAAATTAATTTGAAAAATGGCAAAAAGGAGGGCAAACTCAAAATGTGGGGTTGAGATAGGAAGTTGGTGTCCGAGTGGATTGAAGTCACGATAGTTCAAGTGGTAGAGCAGCGGCGTATCTATCTGAAGATCGTGGATTCGAATCCCGCTCATGCCATTGACTTTTTTATCTCAACTAAAAACCTTAATTAATTGTAATATATTAATTGGTCAAGCGGACCACGAAATTAGTGAATTTTATAATTTAAAATTAAACATTTTCAATACTTTTAAAATAACCACTTTAAAATCTGATAATTGAATTTTTTTTAAATAGAAAAAATATGTTTTAGGTGTCCCTTTGGGACTTCAGCTCAATACGAAGAAAGAACGCACCAGGATAGTTCTGTGTAAGTGCAATTCTATATTAGCATAATGATTTTGATAAATTAAATCGATATATAATAATTAAATTTATAGATTAAATTACAACATTATCAATAAATTATATTTAAAAAAATTTTTCCATTTATTCTAGGAGTGGTACAAATGCAATAAATAACGCAATCATCGAGACTATTGTTCTATCAGACTCTTCGGATGAAGCATCAACATCGGATTGTATCAGAAATATTGCATCTATTTCATCAGAACCGAATGAATCTATTCAACAAAGTAAGATATATTATTTACTGATTATTGAATAATTACAATGAGTAGCTTAAGCTTAGAAAATCGTTTTTGTTCCTTCAGAATGTGCGATTTACCAATATATTTCTATCACAGAAATTTTACTTATTGGAATGTTTTTTATAAACAATCCATATATGTTTAGTGGCTGTAATTGACCTATTTAATTATTTCAATTAATTATACTTTTTAACTATAGTCTTGTTTAAGATGAAAAAGTTGTGTCACATGCGGGAAACGAACCCACTTGAGCTATTATGACTTCAATGCACCCATCTCAACCAAGACTTTAGATTAAAAGTATAATTAATTGAAATAATTTAATAGGTCAATTATGGTCACTAAGCATATATGGATTAATATAGCAATTAAAGAAGTAATCACTTCGCTAACATTTCCCAGTGGACACCGAATTACTGAGAATTGAATCCTGTTTACATGACATTTGAAAAATGGCAAAAATAGGGAAAATTTGAAAGGTTGTACATTGAGATGAATGGTTGGTGTCTGAATGGATCGAAGTCACGATAATGACAGCTCAAGTGGTTAGAACAGCAGCTATTGAACCGAAGGTCGTGGGTTCAATCCCCGCTCATGACACTAACTTTTTTCATCTCAACCAAGACTATATAAAAAGTGTAATTAATTGTTATACACAATGTAAAACTGTTCAATTTTTTGTTTCTAGGTAGAGACTCTACGCAAAAATCTAAAAGGAACAAACGTAAAAAAAAATCAAGCGGAACTAAGAGAACAAAAATAAGGAAATCCTAAGCCAATGTAAATATGAGCAGCGTATAAGAGCAGAAATGGCTTAATTGTAAATTTTGTAAAAAAAAAATTGTGTACCTGTTGTATTATATTTTTTAAATTATTATTTTTTACTTAATAGTAATTGTAAATAACTATTGTTGATATACGATGTACGACATGTGATACATCCAAAATGTGTGTTGTTGCTGTGAGTACAACACATGACTGAATTTTGTTGTAAATTTTAATTGTTTGTTTTTGATTTTTCTAAAAAATCTAAAGTGATACGTCAAAAATGTTGTTGCTGTGAGTACCACAACTAAACTGTGTTACTTATAAATTTAATTGATTTTCTTTTTTTAAGAATGTGATATGTCAAGAATATTTGTTGTTGCTGTGTGTTACTTGTAAATTTTTTGAATATTTTTTTAAATGAAAAAATAAAACAGTGTGATAGGTCAAAAATGTTTGATATTGCTGTGAGTACCACATGACTGAACTGTGTGTGTGCATTACTTGTAGAATTAAATATTTTATTTGCTGAAAAAAAAACTTAATGTGATTTGTCAAAAATATTTGTTGTTGCTGTGAGCACCACATGACTGTGAGTGTTACTTCTAATTTTATTTTTTTTATAAACATAATGTGATATGTCAAAAATGATAGTTGTTTCTGCGATTATAACACATGACTGAATTGTGTTACTTGTAATTTTTTTTTTTTTAATTTTTTTAATGTAATGTGATACATCAAAAATATTTGTTGTTGCTGCAATTAAACAAACACATGACTTAATTGTGTTGTTGTAAATTTAAATTTTTCATTCTTTAATTTTGTTAAAACAATGATACTTCAAATTCGTTTGTTGTTGCAGCGAGTAGAACAAAGAACTGAATTCTGATACTCGAAAATTGTAAATTAAGACTCAAAACGTTTCTTGATGAATAAACGTTACAGTCAGAATTGTTATGTAAATAAATTCAAAAGTTCATTTGAAAACTTTGCTAAGCAATGTATCATAAGAATTATGAATAAAAAATGGCTAACAAAACTGGATTTTTTTTTTTTCATGTTTACCAAGTACAGTACAAATCGTTTATAACTAGCTTAACCAAACCATTCCAAAATCCCACCTGGCATATACAGTCAACCAGCGGCCGTTTGTGTGGCTCCCCTCAGGCATCAAATCAAAATGTTTTTCTGAAACCTATATGATAACATCAATATCTTGAATCTGAAAATATAATTTATCCATATCAATCTGGTAATTAATAAAAACTTGTATCAACTATAATCTTTTTACATACATATGACATTCCTACATCACACCAGACTGCATCTCACGATTTCTGAAGAATTATTTATTTATTAATATGACTTTCTTGTTCTCACATCAAATTGTAAATTTTAATTTTACACATTTGTTTATGCACTACAATACTGGAGGCAGTTTAAATGGCAGGAAAGGCTAATTTAAGATATGTAGCTATAAAAATGAGTTTCCTTTGCAAAAAAAAACTAACCTAATCATTCCTAAACTAGTCTAACCAAACCATTCCAAAACTATGCTAACCCAACCTAACCTCATCATTCTAAAACTATTCTAACCCCCTTACCTAATCTTTCTTAACTAGCCTAACCCAACAATTGCTGAACTACTAACTCACCAAATCTAATCATTCCTAACCTAGCCTAACCCAACCTAACCTAACCATAATGACGGCCGAGAGAAGGTTTGAAGAAGAACAGGAGAGTTACGTCAGAGAGGCACTGTTCAAGACTATTAACTTGGCACGGTTTGCATAACACCTTTGATTGGGTTGGATGCTATGTTCTGTCTAGCAGAGGGGGTAGTAGGTGTTGACTGGAGGCAAGACTAACGGGGGTTTGGGTGGTAGAACTTTGTTTTAGTGAGGAATGGTTAGGGAATTTGAATGGTATAGGACACCAGATCGATCCCCTTTAGCCTACTTGCACTGAGGGGATGATCAATTATGAACCATTCCGTCAGGCCGGCAATGAGTGTTTCCCAGGGTTCACTACTAAGAAGCAGGGTTGGGTTTTGAACCCTGTGAGTCTGTGTTGTATTTATGTTAATTTATTGGAATAAATGAAATTTATTAGTGTGAAAGAAAGGGGTCGGATATCGACTTAAATTTCATATATGATAAAAATTCTTCTCTTGATTTTTCTCGTTTTGTTAACTTTTATACTGTATTCTAAATTGGGGTTCTCAATGCAGAGGTGAATACACTTAATCTTTATTGTTGACTTTTTTTACAACGGTATTTCAACTACGAGGTTGGGCTCCGGGTGCTGTCAACTGCTAGGTCAATGTAGCACACAACGCATGCCGTTCTAGATCCAAACCCATTCGCACTCATTAATTCTAAAATACATTTGTTCTTATTTACATACCATTCACTCATGGTAGTACTCAATACTTCTCTATCACTTTTTACACCTATTACATAACTAACCTAATTGATGGTCGATGTGGTACACAATATCTGCCATCAGCCCTCTCACACTGCACATTCACACTAATAAACACATTCACTCTAAACACATGCTAGGGACACAAAAATATCAGTAGTATATACAATAAAACAACCCTATTTCTTTAAAAGAAAAAAGAAAAGCACAATACTCATATCAGGTGGCATCCCTGCATGCTCTCTATATGGAGCCAGGGAATTGCACTCCTCAATCAGGTGAGACACATCGAGCAACTTTTCTCTGCATGCAGACATATACACAGTACCCAAAAGTAAGTGTCCGTGTGTCAGCCTCGAATGGCCTATCCTTTATTGATTCAGTTGTTATTTTTATATTATGGGCTGTAGACAGCTAGGTCATTTCAGCCTCAAATGCATGCAAACTATAATCCAGCCTAATACTAATTAAATACGACATCAGTCGCACAAATAAATACTTTCCTAAACACGGTATTAATAATCCAACGTAAATTAAGGTCGATGGGGTACTTTTATAAATAACTAATATTTTTACATCATTAAGCTGGCACCATATTATATTTAAGCCCATTTTAACTTTTGCCGACTTTTCTGAAAAGTGTTTGGTTAAGGACAAAGTGGGTGTAAGGCTGATTGATCCCTAAGAATTTGTACTCATTAATCACCTCAATGCATTCTTTACCCAGATGCCACTTCTCGTTTGACGCTGGTCTGCCTCCATTCTAAAGACCATCACTTTCGATTTTTCAAGGTTGATTTTTAATTTTTTATTTTTTGCAGTATTTATCTAGTAAATTGATCATTCCTTGCAGTGTATATGGGTTGGAAGCTAGCACCAGGTCATCTGCATAAGCGAGCAATTTAACCTTACCACCACTTTCAAGGCATATTCCACCATCTAGCTGGTTCTCTAGATCATTTATGTACAGAGAGAATAACGTGGGACTGAGGAGGCAGCCTTGCCTTACTCCCATTTCGGTTTGGAATTTCTGTTTTAGGCCGTTTACACGCCAAACATTAGCCACAGTATTTGTAAGCAGGTTTTTTTATTGAATTTATAATTTTTGAGGCTTTGAGGAAAACAACGATATAAGTTTCTGAGTAAAGGCGAAGTTGTTTAATACACCTGTAGATCTGTGATTTGCTATGGAGCCCAAGTATGGGGATGGGAAGAGTACGAGGAAAAGAGGGTGCAGAGGTTCTTTATCAAAAAACTGCTTAGACACCCTCAATATACACCCACCTTTTTTGTCCAAGCGGAAACAAAATCGCTCCCCATGTTTCTGTATACAGTTAAATTGCATTTTGATTATATAATTAAAATTCTAAATCTCCCAGATAATAGGTTACCAAAAATCTTAGCTACTCAGGTAATTAAAAAAACAAATATACTGGTCCAGGCAAATACAAATCCTGTTGAAAAGGTTAAAATAGATATAACACTAAATTGTTGTAATACAACTATGGAAAAACTGTCTTAAAGAAATAAGAAATTCTATACCAATTAATTACAACAAAGAATCTGAAGATAATATTAAAAATTCGCTAACCGCCCCATTGTACCGTGAACTCAATTTTGATTTAGAAAATCATTATTTAAATAGCAGCCTAACACTCGACTCTACAAGAAGGATCATTAAAATAAGAGGTGATGTGCTAAACTTAAATTATAAATACTTTAAAAAAGATAATATTATATGTACACTATGTAATATACAAGAAGAGGAGGACCTATTCCACTTTCTGGCTGTCTGTCCCGCTTACAGTAACTACAGGTTGAAATATTTCAGCGAAGAAACCGTTTCAGGTGGAAAAATGTTAGAGTATATCAACGGCAGTGATTGGACATTATTAGTTAAATACTGTAAAGCGGCCAACACCGTTCATAACAAACAGTTACAAACCTAAAACTGCGATCCTTTTTAAAAAGATAGTTCCTACTCACAGTAAGGAGTAGTAATCACTTACTGCGAGTAGGAACTATCTTTTTAAAAAGGATTGAACACCACACTCACACCATCATTTATCATTTCTATAAAACTATGATATTTTATTTTTACTTTGATAGCACAGCATTATCAAGGTTAGGGTTTATTATTCTTATGTACTAGTTAGAATCACTTATTACTATCATTATTATGTATTAAATATTATCATGTACTATTAATCATGTTCTTTAAAAATTATCATAGTAGACTTCTCGGACGGTCTGAGACCCTGATATTTGTCTTTATGAAGTAATTATTTATTCATTAAAAGTTTCTATTAAGGTGATAATTTATTTTCATTTTAATCAGTTTGTATAATTATGTTTGTATGAATTAAAAATAAAATTAATTAAGGTTTTTAGTTTAGATGAAAAAAAGCTAATGGCACGAGAGGGATTCGAACTCACGACCTTCGGCTTGATACGCCGCTGCTCTACCACCTGAGCTATCGTGACCTCGATCCACTCGGACATCAACTCCCCATCTCAACCTTACCTTATGAGTTTTTTGAGATGGGGAGTTGATGTCCGAGTGGATCGAGGTCACGATAGCTCAGGTGGTAGAGCAGCGGCGTATCAAGCCGAAGGTCGTGGGTTCGAATCCCTCTCGTGCCATTAGCTTTTTTTCATCTCAACTAAAAACCTTAATTAATTGTAATGTTTAATTGGTCAAGCGGACCACGAAATTAGTGGAATTAAAAATAAAGACACTTTAATAATAATAATACAACATTACTTTAATTTTATTTCTTCTAGATTTTATAAATATATATTTAGAAATCTTGAGATTCGGTCTGGTGTGATGTAGGTTTCAGAAAAACATTTTCTTTATCGTGCCAACGTTTCGATCTTTATTGAGATCATCTTCAGGGCCTGGGATTAACAAACATTGTTTACATATAACAACTACATTTTGGATGTGGAAAAGTGAATTTATACAATGGAATACTTTGATTGAATATATAAAAAATATATTTTGCATGATGATGATCTCAATAAAGATCGAAACGTTGGCACGATAAAGAAAATGTTTTTCTGAAACCTACATCATACCAGACCGCATCTCACGATTTCTAAATAAATATCGATTAACGGTCACTAATCACCACACATTTATAAATGTACTTTTCTATCAGTTGTATATTTTCTATTTTTTTTTTAAATTTTTTTTTACGAGGGTTCGCAACAGCAGAGGTCATATAAACCCTCAGGGTGCCGGTGTTTTTGAAAAAAGGCCCATTTGTAAGTATGTCGGGTTTGATGAAGGGCCGCTGGATTCGAACCCGGGACCTTCACCTTACAGTGATGAGCGCCGTGTCAGCGCCTAAACCGTTGCGGCCACCGACGCCCCCATATATTTTCCATTATATTATTTTATTATAAATATTAGTTTTCATTGTAAAGTGATACTATTTTCACATTTTGTACATTTAAAAAAATGGTGTGACAGCCCGCTAAATAAATAAAAAAACGTTATTTATAGGAAGAAATATATGCAATAACCCAATGGCACAGAAGACGTGTTAATTAAATCATTATTAACCATTTTGGTTTATTAAAATCAGGTAATCGGCATAAAGGGAAGGAAAATGACCCAGAAAATGGTTTGTGATTATTCCAAGAATAGTGGATTTATTTATTATGGACTTGAAGAATGTTCTGTTCGGCCGGGGTGGTGTTTTCTCGGTAAAAAAGCCTTGCAACTCTATCGTCCCATTCATTTCAATTTCGTACAATGATGAAACAAGTCGGAGGTCAGTCCCCCTTGATAATCAATACCGCGAGTTACCGACAGTGGGTCATTTTCATTCTGAGAATCCACCCTCGTTTGACACCCTTTCCTAAGGAAACACCTACCCGGTAACTCCCATCTCATTAGTCCACCCCCACCCCCACCAATAGCGTCCATAAACTATTTGCCGGGTCTTGGAACCCATTGGGAAATTCTCCTTTACCGGATGGTGAATTATTGGGTAAACGATTTTGACTAGTGGGCTATCAATTTACTCCATGGAAACCGATTAGTCTGGATAATCGTTCAGTGGAATTTATAAAATGCCTGGTCCTTTTGCTAGTCAACCATGCTCAAAAGCAATAAAAAAGACATCTGTATTTTTTTTAACTATCAACGGAAACTAGTATGCAGCAGATTATAGCTACTAGCAGCCCTAAAGAGTGACCTATTTTTTTTTTTTTAGAAGGCAAACGAAAAAAAAGAAGGAACTGCCACAGAAAACTAATATGATACAATATCTATTTTAAACAATTTCCTGGAACTAGTATGCAGCAGATTCTAACTACTAGCAGCCCTGAAGAATGACCTATTATTATTTTTTTTAGAAGGCAAACGAAAAAAGAAGGAACTGCCACAGAAAACTAATATGATACAAAATCTATTTTAAACAATTTCCTGGAACTAGTATGCAGCAGATTCTAACTACTAGCAGCCCTGAAAAATGACCTATTATTATTTTTTTTAGAAGGCAAACGAAAAAAAAAAGAAGGAACTGCCACAGAAAAATAATATGATACAAAATCTATTTTAAACAATTTCCTGGAAACTAGTATGTAGCAGATTCTAACTACTAGCACCCCTGAAGGGTGACCTATTGTTATTTTTTTTAGAAGGCAAACAAAAGGAAAGAAGGAACTGCCCACGAAAATGAATATAATACAAAATCTATTTTAAACAATTTTCTGGAAACTAGTATGCAGTAGATTCTAGCTACTAGCACCCCTGAAGATGTAGCACAAGCCAAAATGATAATAAATCATAAATAAATCTCAAGACAGATCTTGGCAATTATATTCAACAATTTCACACCCAACCTTGGATATAAAAAATAATTTCAAATATTTCTGAGAGTTTGCATTACATTTTAACCCAATTATATAATATTATGGGCTCTGCTAAGAAGGCGAGGACTGTGGAGGCCAAGTTGTTGGACATCCGTTTTGTGATTGCCAAGGCTTTGGGGTCCTGGCATAGCCCATGGCTTTTTAATTGAGAATAGTTAATAACCTCTTTGACATAACTGACTTTTTACTTACTTTATTCTCTGGAAGGAGCATTTATAAGCCGTGCTCACTGTCCAGGGTTTGAATCCCATGGAGTTTTAATGTCAAGTGGTTTGACTTCTCGTCCTCTTTCCCCAATGTTGGCTGTTAAAGTCCTCCTGTAAGACAGAAATTACTTTAGTTACTTCACTTTTTTACACTCTTAAGAAGGACAAGATCGTTTTATATGTAGGGGTTTTAAATCCGCTCTTCTACACTTATAGTTTACCAGTAGTCACAATTTATCCAGGAATTTGATTATTAGGCCTGGTTTTAGTGGGTGTTATTTTCCTATGGGTACGTTAAACGTTTCAAAGAACTTTCTCCAGGCTGTTAATGTTTTGTGGACTTTTCTGCCTCTTTGCAGAATCTGAATGTATTGGTTGATACCAATCTTTCTCGAATGCCCTGTCAAGGATTGTATTAGTCTTCAAAGCCGCTTTCTGTGTCCTTTGGTGTATTCTGTCAATTTTACATTTATTGCTGTTGTCAGCCCAATTTTAAGAAGATAAATTGAAAACTTAATTTAAAATGTAACTACTTTCCAGGCAGAAAATTTCAAGTCATACTCATATGCACAAATCTATAAAATTTGATATTGTATGACGGTATTAAAAGTAGATATAGAAGAAAAAAAAGTTAATTTTTACTAAAACTACATACATATGAACATAATGAGAATAAATCAAATTTTAAATGACACAATGTTCACAGACTGTCTGCTTGAGGTTAAGGGTCAAGCTACCCAATTTTATTATTATTTTTGAAAAAATAAGAAAAAATTATATAACATTGTTTATTTTAATTTCACCATCAAACTGCTTCTTCTTTTTGTTCATCAATCTTCCCTCACTAACTGAAGTGGTCGGTCGAAAACCTTCAATCTTTAGAGCTGAGCAATGTCAATATTAGCATTATAATTTTTTTAGCTCCACTTTTAATAATAATAAAAAAATAAAACATTTATATAAAAATTTATTAACATTAAAAAATGGAATTTCTTTCAGACGTGAAAAATCTGTTGAAAGATTGTTAAAAGTATAAATAATTTGTTCATTACAAAATACATTTTACAGTTGCACTACAAAGGATGGGTTCGTCAAGACCAAGAGTTTAATGCAGGACATGATTTAACATCATTGTTTTAAAGTGGATTTCTATGATCCAAATTTACATTGCAAAGGGTTATTTCTGTTATGCTAAACTCAGCCATTACTCTTTTCACTGCATGCTTGCTTCAACATTTCATAACTCCTTTGAAGCATACAGTTAAAATTATTATAAAGCTGCTTCTTGATTAATTTTTTTTGTTATTGTACGGTTAACAAGACAGGTGAATTGTATTTTCAAAGTTTAAACCATGCAATTTTTTTTACTTACTTGGCAGTTTAACCAGATTTTCAATTTTTATGAGGATCTACCAACCCTGCAGTGGGTTGAAGCATCCCTGGCCTCACGATTAATTATGGCTGTTTGTAGTACAAACTTGCACAATTAATTGTTTATGGCACAACTGCATAAAATTTACTTTGCATATGGTACTATCTTCTATAAACCTATTTTGTTTGGGGCACAAACCTGTATAAAACTTTGTGGCACAGACTTGAATGGCATCTATTAAAAAAATAAATAAAAAAATAAAAAACAACATATTTTTGTCAATTTATTTATTCTTTAGACTGAGAATACTTTTTATCAATGCGAGTAGCATCATTACAAAAAATAGACTTAATCTAATTCTGAAATAGTTTGGCTGCTGTTTTTATAATGAAATGAGTAAGTACAGCCTGGTACTTTATTGACAGTATTATAAGAAAACAAATAAAAATCAATTTGACCAACGTGCTTATTAAAAAAACAAAAGAAAGAAAGAAAAAGAAATTCAGTAACAATATAAAAATGACACTCCATATTCGCTCAGATTATTCTACAACTTTCACGCATAATTAAATTACAATCACACAGTGTTACATGTAATAAAGTTGTGTTTTTTTTTATATCACTTTTAGCCGAACCAACGATAATTTTATGCTTTTGAATATGTTCGATTATTTTATTTTAATTTTTAAACTGACCTTGTTTGTTTTTGCATTCTCGATGAATTACATAGAAAAATAAAACTATAAAATATATATAAAGTGATCGAGTAGGGCCAAAGCGTTTGAATCTGACTAAAAATTAGACAACGTACCGTTTAAATCAAAACTGACTAAACTGTACGTTATTTACAATGAGTTTTTTTTTTTTTTTAAATTAAACATGTCTAATGATTATTACAGATTATGGTAATGGTTTGTCATTTGATTAAAAGCGGATTCTTTTTTTCTTTTAGCAAAGGGATAAATTATTTCCTTTTTTTTTCAACATTTCTTTTGATATGGTCAAACAATACATTCCATGGTACAAATATTTAAAACTAGAACATATATCAATACATANATTATTAATACTACTATAACAAGGGATATGAATCAGTTAAGCTATACAGTAGTTAAAAGTTAAGACAAAGGCACAATCGATTTTAAATAAATTAAAAAATATGTATGTAAGGTTTTAATTAGCCTATTGTTTTGATATTTGGAAAGATTATTATTTAAAGTCATGTGATTTATTTAAAATAATTACTAGTTCGTTATGTATCTGTTACCTGTTGAGTAGGAGTGATTTTTTTTTACAAACTGGATTGATGCACGAGCAAATGCATTATTTACACATTGACAAATAAAAATTATATAAACATGAATGTAAAAAAAAAATTGTATGATGGATACCCTCTTTGACTAGGGTCGTATGTAGTTGCACTCGGAGAAGATGGTGCTGGCTTTCTTGGTCAGGAATTGCAGGAAATCTTCAAGGACATCCGTAAAAGACTGTGTACAACCGTTTTCCCAAACTTCCGTACACCATCCGAAGCGTGCGATCATCCTGATGAGGTGGATCCCGCCGTAGACGCTGCTCCTGTCCTTTCCCATCTTTTTAGTCATGCAGACGTCTTGCCATTTCTCAGGGGTGTAGATGATCTCTGAGCCGAAGTAACCGTTAAAAGCCCTGCGCAACGTTTCGATCATTTCGCCCGTGGACCTCTTCAGGCCTGATTTCGAAAACTGCTCGAACAGGTGGTCGACAGTTTCCGAAGCGGGCAGAGAGACGAGCATTTTCTCCAAATGGATCATGTGCCAATCGTCGACTAGAAAGTTCTGAAGGTTTTCGTTTATCCCCAGTGGCACGGGTGTCAAACGTCTCTGCTGCTTCACGATTACAAAACCGTCGTTTTGGTCGTCCAATATTGTCGAGAAATTCGAACCTGTTGCGTTTTCTTCTGTCGGGATTCCATCTTCTTTCATCTTCGGACGATCCTTAGTCCCGTTAAGTTCGAACGTTTTACCCAATCGCACCGTCTCACTTTCGGCCACTTTTCCCTCCATCGTGCACTCTGAGACAAACGGCAAATATCTATTTGTTTATAAACTTTTTTTATCCCCTGGAGCCGATAGAGTTAAGACAAATTGTGCGTTGAACTCCCAAAACGTAAATATCACGAGCACAAACCTAAACGCTGTCAATATCAACACAATCGACCAAGAAAACACTAGGACACTAATTCTAATTTGGACGGCGGAAGGTAGACATTAGGAGAATCCCGCTCTGCAGACCTCCTCGTCAAAATGGCGGGGAGAAAACCACTGAATATTATTTCTCCTGAAGGTAAAAGCTTCACTTAATAACGGGAATTCCATAAAATATCTGATAAAAATCAAACGGTCCTTTTCCTTTAAGCTCAATTTAAAACCTGCAATTTTAATAAATCCACCTAGTTAATTAAAAAAGAAAAAGAAAGCTAAAAGCGTAATATAAAACATCAAGTGCATAACCGTATTAAAATATTTCCCTGATATCTAAAAATCCAAACGAAAAAAAAAAAAAATAGGGCACTTTTAACTTAAATTAATTATGTCTGGAGTTTTCAATTTTGATGTTCAACAAAAATAATTTTCCCTAAGGCCTGTCTCAGCTGATGAAAATAAGAAGGTTCAAAAACAAGTAACCTAATGACTGAAAAATAGAAAGTTTTACTGGTATTAGTGTCCCGCAAAATAAAAATAAAAATTAAAACCCAGTAAATTTAACATATTAACATTAACTTTATTTAGTTTTTAAAACATGCTACATATACCTTTATTATCGTTGAGTTTCTAAGATATACTTGTAATTAGACATTGTTTATTGATGTTTTTCTGACAGGGAAAGGCTATTTAAATAAGCTAAATTTAAAATTTGGTTTTCTGCCTTTGTTGTGCATGTATTTTAAGGTTATTATAAACGGTGTTCGGCTATTCCTGTTACAAACTTTGCCAGTAGATTCTACATTCAAAATGGAACCAAAACGTCCTGATTAAGTATGGCCCGAATCTCGGCAGTTTCGGAGTTATTTCACTTTTTCTGATTTCTCAATATTTCACGTTTCAAAAACGTTTAAAAACTCTTTTCTTCCGGAGAATAACAATACAATAATTCTTTAATCAAAGTTGCAGTCGTGCTGATAAATAAGTAAACAATATTTCGGTTTCGAACCCATTTTTTTTTTTTTTTCATTTTCCACCTTACGTGTCAGACACGGGTTTTTCCTTTCCTCCATCAATTTCTTCATCTTTGAAAAGAGTAATTAAAAGAGCAATTGTACCACTAAAAAGTATATTAAATGGAGTAAGTTTTCTGAAATTTGCTGGTCTCTAGGTTTGGAAATAGTAGTTTAGAATCACTGTAGTAGGTTTTTCAACTTTGAAAAAAAAAATTTCAAAGTTCTCGCTATTAAATAACATATAGGAAGGTTTACAAGCTTAGTATTGATGGCATCTGATTGGTTATTATAAAGGGTGTTCGACTATTCCTGTTACAAACTTTGCCAGTAGATTCTACATTCAAAATGGAACCAAAACGTCCTGATTAAGTACGGCCCGAATCTCGGCAGTTTCGGAGTTATTTCACTTTTTCTGATTTCTTAATATTTCACGTTTCAAAGACGTTTAAAAATTCTTTTTTTTTCCGGAGAATAACAATACAATAATTCTTTAATCAAAGTTGCAGTCGTGCTGATAAATAAGTAAACAATATTTCGGTTTCGAACCCATTTTTTTTTTTCATTTTCCACCTTACGTGTCAGACACGGGTTTTTCGGTTTTTCCTTTCCTCCATCAATTTCTTCATCTTTGAAAAGGGTAATTAAAAGAGCAATTGTACCACTAAAAAGTGCATTAAATGGAGTACGTTTTCTGAAATTTGCTGGTCTCCTAGAAATTTGGTGGTGTACCGTACTTTAAGTTTTTAATTTTTTTATGCATCCCCCTATAAGATTAGAAATTTGTCGACTATTTATTATTTGTTAAATGTAAACATTTTCACAAGAAATTTTAGGTTTTGAGACAGTAGTAAAGTAGCAGGCAAATCACATTGCTTGCTCATGGTAAGTGAAGATTTTGGATATCTTTTCTTCCTAGACATTATTCACGTAAGGGTAAATGTTGATCATCAGAAACGGTCATAAAAACAAACATAAAGTTACAAACTTTGGCTGTTTTAAGGACGTTGACCGGTAAGGAGGGGAATAAAAAGAGACAACCCATTAGAGTCCGCCGTGCACGGAACAACAGTCAACTCCTAACCCCGGAAGCTATTAGATCGCGGTTGAACGTTTTACTCAATGCGATTAATACCGATTCCACCCTCTTGCCGAACTTCGAAAATTGCTCGTGCGATCGAAGTTCGTGACCTCCCTCACTTCACCCTTGCACACTTGTCAATGCCAAAAGCGATCTCGTGCACGGAAGGGTCATCTCTAATGAGTTTATTAACGCAACGCCGATTTTTATACTTTTAATGTAGAAATACAAATAAAAATTAACGAATTCGGTCTTCTCAGATTACAGGGGCTGATCAATTCTCTGTTCACCAAGACAAAAGAGGTGAACTGTCCTTTTTTCCATTTAAAAAAAAAGTAATTCCTGCACATTATGTGTCGCTGACCTCCCCCCCTATCAGAAAAAGTTTTCAAATTAACCTTTATTAAAAATTCAAAGGTCTAGGCCGGGATTCGAACTCAGAACCGCAAGCGTTCGCCCTAAGCCACCTCGGTCTCAAACTTTTAGCAAGTCGATACGATGTCAACTTTCATCAAAAGCCTTGGATTCTCCTTCTAAGTGCTGAAACGATTCGCGTCTCGCCTTTCTGGACGAAAACAGGCGATACTGGGGGAAACAAAACAGATCTCGTAGTTGCCAGTAAAGCGGGGTGTTTCTCAGGGCTCCGTCCTGCCTTGACCTACCGCAATTCACCACAAATACAAATTTTTTATTAAAAAAAAGATTCATTTTAAGCACCATTAAATACATTTAAATATGAATTTTTATCGCAAACAAAAACTAGACATTTTTGGAATGAATTAAAGGGTAAACTTTTTTCTCTCCGATCCCGGGTATTCATTTAAAAAATTCACAACTCCTCATTCCAAATTTAATGTTATGAAAATATTTGGATTTTTTACGAGGGTTCGCAACAGCAGAGGTTCAACCCTCGGGTTGCCGGTGTTTTTTAAAAAAAAGCCCATTTGTAAGTATGTCGGGTTCGAATGCGGGGTTGCTGGATTCGAACCCGGGACCTTTACCTTACAGTGATGAGCGCCGTTCCAACGCCTAAACCGTTGCGGCCACCGATGCCCCTTTCAGCCTATTTCAACAAGATTTAGATGTTATGTTATATAAATGAGAAGCTTAAACATTAAAAAAAAAATCTTTCAGCCAATTGAATACAAATTTTTATAGTAATCGAAAATAGATATTTTTTGCTAGATTAGCCGGGGGAAATTTTGTTTTCTCTGGATTTGATCAAAATTCAATTTTATTACAATCCTCAGAAAGCGTGATCTTTCTTCTTTTAGTGTCAACATTGCTTAGATTTTACGTCATTTTAGGTGAGCAAAATTAGGGGTGAAATGAACAAAAACACGTCATAAGTTTTATTAAACGTAAACATTTTTAAATTATTTAGAATTTAAAAACGTCAAAAAGATTTATTTTTTATCTATTCAATTTATTTACAGAGGCGACGTTTGTACAATTACGTGTAATTTAAAGGGTTCTAAACTCCTTTAAAACTTCCTGTGGATCGTTGAAGTTGTTTCAACATTTTTGTGATTTTTGCATAAAATCGTAGACATTTGGAAGGCAAAAAATTTGAAAAAAAATTATACGTTTGATATTTACAAAAATTTGTATTCAGGGGTTTTAGAGTGTGCAAAAACCTAATATCGACATTCCTGCAAAACAAATTAGCCTACTTTCGGCTATAAATTATGTATCTGAACGAAATGACCGTTTGTTTCGTTCAAAAATCACAAAAAATGGCCATAATTTTAAGACGAGTCAACCGATCCTACCGGAAACCTAACAGGAATTTATAGCCCTCAAAAGGGCGCGCAATGACATTGGCTTCCGTAAATAAATCACAAGCGGAGTTATAAAATTTTAAAAAAGAAAAAAGTTCGAGATGTTTTTGTTGATTTCATTCTTATTTTTCTCACTTATAATGAGATTGATAAAAGAGATATTCCGCATTCCAGCAGTTGCAGTAAAATAGAATTTGGATAAAATTATGAAATTTTTAATGCAACACCAGCCACACGAGGGAGTGTCTTTTGTGACTATGTGGTGTCTTTTTGACGTTTTTAAATTCTAAATAATTTAAAAATGTTTACGTTTAATACAACTTATGACGTGTTTTTGTTCATTTCACCCCTAATTTTGCTCACATAAAATGACGTAAAATCTAAGCAATGTTGACACTCTAAAAGAAGAAAGATCAAGCCTTGTGAGGATTGTAATAAAGTTGAATTTTGATCAAATTCAGAGGAGTTATACATTTTTTAACCGAGAAAGAAAACAAAATTACCCCCGGCTAATCTAGCAAAAAAGATCTATTTTCAATTACTATAAAAATTTGTATTTAATGGGCTGAAAGGTTTTTTTTTCTTATTGTTTAAGCTTTATTTTTCCCATTTATATAACAACATTTAAATCTTATTGAAATAGGCTGAAAGGGCGCTGGTGGCCGCAACGGTTTAGGCGTTGACAGGGCGCTCATCACTGTAAGGTAAAGGTCCCGGGTTCGAATCCAGCGGCCCTTCATCAAACCCGACATACTTACAAATGGGATTTTTTTCAAAAACACCGGCACCCCGAGGGTTTATATGACCTCTGCTGTTGCGAACCCTCGTTAAAAAAAAAAATTTAAAAAATTTAAAAAACACCAGCCACCGTAGATAAAAAAATTTCGCCCGGCCAATTCAGCCCTAAAATATTTTATTTATTGCTACGAAAATTCGTATTTAATGGTTTTACAGAATGCTTAAAACGAACCCTAAATGTTTTTGATTTTTTTCAAAAGCAATTTTTTGGCCTACTTTACTGAAAGCGTCTTTCGGTTTTTGCGATTTCTTACTCATTTAACGGAATCCTGAATATTATTTTCTCATACTAAATTTTTAAAAAAAGCAAACAGAATGATATATTATATCCTTGAAATACATGCAAAACACACATTTGGTTTCTCGGCCCCTAGGGCCTTTGGCCAGAGGCTTGGACACGTGTGTAATATTTTTGACTTAATATCACCAAAGAAAAAGTTTCATTTTACGTCCATAGCATGTACTTTTTTAGAAAAATTTTAAGGAATAACATTAAAGGTTATTAAGTTATTATTAAAGGTCATAAACCCGATCGTGTTTGTTTATGTTTACAA